AAGTTCCAGTACAAAAAATCATATCTAGATTCAAGAGTCCCCTGCCCATTACAGCCCATCTGGTAAAGGGAATATAAGAGATGCACCCAGGAGAACAGTGCAGGTCTCCTGCACTGTTACCTACATATTTGGGACCTCAGTAGGGGCAATAAGAGTAACAAACAATGACACCAAACTTATGCAGCAATGAACTTCTAAAGTCTGAACTCAACAACTGCACATGGCTTGTAAGAATTAAAAAAAAAAAAAAAATCAGTGTTTATTAAACAAAGGTTTGTGAACTAATTTGTGAACTAGCTGGCAAGGAGCTCAGCTAGCCATCAGGTCTGGTACCCTCCCTCTAATTCTGTAGTGCTCTCTCTCTCTCTCTGTATTTACTATATTTTTTTGATGCTCCCACAACTTTGGCATTAGAATCTTTATTTTGCCAAAGATAAATAAATGAGAAGAAAAAGAAAAGGGCAATAAAAATCATTTTATTTGTATGTGACTCATGAAAGTCCTAAGAGATTAGTCAGTGGAAGACATTATTTTAAAGCGGCTTCTTACAACATAGAATACCAGGCTTGTCTATTGTTTTATGAGGATTTTTGTTTGTTAATCCTCACCTGAGGACATTTCCCCCCCCCCCCCCCCCACACACACACACACACTAATTTTTAGAGAGAATGGAAGGGAAGGGGAGAGAAAAAGAGAAACATTGATATGAGAGACACATCAATTGGTTATCTCCTGCATGTATCCAGATGGGGGGCCAGGGATCGAACCTGCAACCCAGATATGTGCCCTTTACCGGGGAATCAAAATTGGTGTGTGGGCCAACTCTCTAACCAGTTACTCTTTAGCTATGTGTGGTAGTGGTTACTACATTGGACAGCCAATGTATGTTCCTTTATGTTTTCTTTTCAAACTGGCCAGCCTATCTTGCCTTGAAAGACAAAGGAGATCTTGAAGAGCCAGGTGTATCATAGTAAAAACAAAAGGCAGTCTGTTAAATCATTAATCCTGCTGGGGAACAACTCTTAAAGTTCTCCTCTAGAACTGATAGCCAAGAGAACTAATCATTTTAAACTAATGAAGCGGTAATCACTACCGCTTCATTAGTTTAAAATGTATAAAATGCTCTACATTCTGTCCATGAACTTAAAACAGCTTGATGAGATAAACACAATGGTCATTTTCTCTATATTTTAGATGGAAATACTGAGGTTTATAAAGGCTGTTAGACTTACACATAGTAAAATTATTGTGATCAGGAAGTCAGAGGATCTGAGTTTGCTTCCTGGCTCTCCTCAATAACCTTGCATAATCACTTTGTAAGCTTTAAGGTACTACACACACGCTTATAGTTGTTGTTAATTGTTGTGGAAAGCCCTCTGTTAGTTGTAAAAGCCTATGTAAATGGATTATTAACACTCCATGGCTTCTGACCAGTAATCTTTTTACTGTGCTAAGAGTAACAAACGATGTCAAGCTCACAGAGAAATAGCACCTGTTCATTATAAAGCACTGTGAGTTGATGACTGCTAAAGGGATATTGCACATCACTACCTGCTAGACTAACCATAGGCCCCAGCACACTTAGAATGTGCCATGTCTACGAATGTCCAGCCAGCTCCAATCAGGCTATAGGCTTTCAGCGACCTAATGTACAGGACGGAAAGTACAAAGAACACAGATCCTATCTCCTAGCAAATCGTTCCTAGCTAAGCACCTCATGGTCCATGTACTTCCATAGCTGCTCAAATGCTCTCTAAGGCATTTTCTTTCTCAATCAGTTACTTAGCTTATTTACTTAGAGAAGAGGATGTCTGAAGCCCTGCCAAGCAGAGATAATAAATTAGGTGGTCTAGTTTTTCCAGGCCTCAGCCCCCAAACAATTTTGTCAGTGAACCCTCTGGCTTTCCTTGTTGTACCAAGCTTGAGCTCCATAAATCTGTGCCAATCTCAGCTCTGCCTTGTAGCCAGCACTGCCACTTTCACACTAAAATGTTGTTTGCCTCTGCCAGTGCTATCTCCCGCATGAAAAAACCACCTTTCTCGCTGGCCAAAATACTTGGCTACTTTCAACTGGGCCTCTGCAATATGAATCTTTAGTCCAATTTTGACATCTCTTAGCCATTTAAATTAGGTTTTGATCTTTCATTCCTTTCTTCTCCTAAGCATGAACCTTCTGGCAGAAGATCTGGTAATGGAGAAAACTGTTTAATACCACCCCAAGCCCAAATGAACAAAAACAAAAATAATTAAAAATGTGAATTTACTCTGTAAATTGTAAAATCCTATGTTAACAGATCATTAATGTCTCCAGACTCTTAGGTAGGGTCTTTTCATTACACTAAGCTGTAAACACCTCTCACCCCTAAAAGTTCCCTCCACCCACATCTCACTCCAACTTTCCTAGAAATGCATTCACTGAGACTTCCTCCCTCTTTCTGTTTTCAGGGTTTTGCTGAAGAATATTTCTCCTGGTCAAATGTTAAACATCTATTAGACTTCCCAGGAGAGACCATTCTACAGCCTTGACTTTATTAAGGGAAAAAACTATCATTGCCTTTTTACCCAATATTAGCTTAATATTTTTTTTTAATGGCCATGTTTGTTCCACAGCTTCACAAGCTTATGACCTGTGTGAAGAAATGAATATGTCAATGAATCACTAAGCATGTAGTGAATTTCTTGCCCAACAAGTCAGTAATCCCTTATATAATATATAAAGTTGTGCTATCCAAGATAATAGTCACATGTGGCTATTTATATTTTATATTATTAAAATTAAATAAAATTTAAAATTCAGTTTCTCAGTTGCTTTTTAGCTATGTGTGGTAGTGGCTACTACATTGGACAACACAAATACAGAACATTTCTATCATTACTGAAATTTTATTGAACAGCACTGATAGAGTCTGCTTACGAATAATATTATTGTAAGGAATGGTGATGAGAAGCACTGAACATAGGTAACAAGTAACCAGTATTCCCTACAAATCCACAACTTGTCTGGGAAATGAACTCCGTACTCTTGCAGGTTCAAAAGTATCAGGTTCAAAAGAATATTTTAACTTTAACAGGTAATTTGGTTCCTTACCAAAAATTTGTCTCACCAGCCCCTGTAGATAAGCTTGTTGTTACTGTGGGGCTGTTCATAAAGGCTGAGCTACTGCTGTTATTTTTCTTTTTTCTTAAAAACAAAAAAACTTGTATCTTCCTCTATGCAAGTGAAAAAGTTTGATGATATTCAAAATTATGAATTCAAATAGCCAGTGCCTCTTGCTAAGATTACTTCCTAACCAGTAGTCAATATTTTTCACAGCCTTCTACCTTCATAACCACTGACTTCACTCCAATAACAGCAGTAGACACATTAATCAGGACTTTCCTTATTTTCCTTATTTTCTTTTTAGCTCTAAGCAGAATCCCTAAAAGGTAAATATCCCTCAAGGATCAATCAAGGTCCACTCTACCCCTCTTCTTCCAGCCTGGTCCCTTTGGGCCCTCTAACTCAAGAAAGCTTCTCCTTTTCACCTACGAACTGATATACAGGCTAATAGTCCAGTCTGGAGAAAGGTCAGCTGACTAGAGCAGAGTTAGCAAGCACGCTCCACATAGGAAGACAGGAAGGAAAGTGAGGTCATTAGGCTCAGGCCTGGGGGAGGGGACTCACTTCTGGTAAAATGCTCCTTCCAAAGCAGCTTTGAATAGAAATGAATTATAGCAAGGGAGAACCACACAATTAGAATAACATATGAAAACATCGATAGTACAAAAATGGGCCCTATTCTGTTGTTCCCTTAGTTCCGTAGGTAACCACAAAAATAAAAACAACTTTCTAAACTAATCCTTCTATTAAAATGAAACAGAAGGTCCCCAAGGTCCCCAGTTTTACTAAAGACAAGAAATACTCTAGGAGGCCATATCTAGCAGACCTCAGACAGAAAAACTTCAAGAACATCATACTATCTCTAGAAGCCAAGGGTACTTCTGAAGAATTGGTAGACAAGGTACAAATAAGGAGAGAGGTTAGCTGATAATGAAGAGATCCACCACAGGAGGATGTCATGGACAAGTTTCATCAAACACACCAAACACCGCCATCTAATAGAGTGCTAGATAACCACTAGGGAAGAAAGCTCCCCATCATTCATTCCTTCCTGCAGGCCAAAGTACCCAGGAAACCGGGAGGTAAATGACACCGCACATGAGAAGGTTCTCAGCACATAAGTTTAAATGTTAACAAAAATAAAAACTTTTCTTAAAGAACCACACAACTCTTAATAAAATAGGCATTCTCAACTATCTGAATTAATAAAGGAAAATAACTGTAAACAACAACAATAAAATCACTCACTCATTATTACCTTCACAATATATTATATGACATTTTATTAAATAAAATTTCCTTCATAATTATATTTTATATAAGCTAATACTAAAATTAACTAAATTTTCCTGAGTATATACTGTAAAGTTGTCTTCTGAGTTTGAGATCATAAATTTGGATAAAATATTGGCCAAAAAAGCAGAAAAGTTATATAAATACTGTCCGCATAATAAATAAAAGAATTATTCTCATTTTCTGCAAATGAAACACTATACACAAAGTTAGATGCACAAGGCTTTGGGATTCCAGATTGTGATTCTTTTCACAATCTATTTTTTTTTTTTTAGTATACTTTTATTGATTTCAGAGGATGGGAAAGGGAAAGAGAGATATGAGCATCAATGATGACAGAGAATCATTGGTGGGCTGCTTCCTGCATGACCCTACTAGGAATCAAGCCTACAAGCGAGGCATGTGGCTCCTACAACCTAGGCATAGAACCATGACCTCCTGGTTCAAAGGTCAATGCTCAACCATTGAGCCAGGTTTCTTTTCATAATCTTATAAGTGGTAAGTGACATATACCACTTAAAAGTACATATTCTTGGCTTCTCAAATATTTCCTATTTGAAAACTCCTCTCCAACAAATTTCGTTAATTCTATCAGGGCCACACGTACCTGCCTATTTGGGTGACCCGTGTCTTTATTCTTCATGGTCTCATATGCAGGCACCCGGGGACGCCGGCTCATCTGGAGGGCCACCAGATCCTTCATGATCGAGTTCAATGCCTCCTGTTCATCTACAGTGAAAAAGAGCACATGGATTAAGATACTTTAGTACAGACCAGAAAAGTATTTTCACAAATTATATGACTAATACTCAGATAGTTCTGAACAGGTAAAATGAGAGGCTCTATAACTATAATTATATACATTCCTCTCTAAAATCTCTCTGAAAAGTAACTGAGGTCAGACTATGACAGTTTGAATTTTAATGGATTCTTAATAGTTCTTAATCAGATCATAGGCAGCAACATTTACCCATTCACTGGGGGCAAAGGAGGTGCTCAAACAGCAATTCTTCCAATGTCACAGAAACTCAACCAGGAAAAATAGATGGAAAGTTGGAGAACTGAAGAACAACGTGGCACAGTGTAGTAGGGTACTGAGTGAAAAAATGAATTCATGGAGAGCTGATTATGGAACAGTCAGTCACAGACTTATTCTTCAAGTATCATATGTAGGAGAGCACATTTTAAAAGATACCAAACAAGGATCTCAGGTAGTAGCTCTGAACAGAAGTTGTCTTACAAGCCTAGCCTTTGAATACCTTCCTCCCAACCCCTCACAAGTTTATAGGCCTTCTGCTTCCCATAGGGAAGTCAAAAGGCAGTTCTATTGTTTTTCTTCCCTAACTGACCAAGCAATGTATTGTCTCTATTTTACTGACTTTACTTTTAAACCCCTTTTCTTGAAATAGCATAAAGTACTAGAGTTCTCATGTACTTAAGACAACTGGCCAAATACTAGAATTCAAACCAGCCAAATTCCATGTTTTAAAAAATTCTCCCTGTCCACTTCAATTGCATTTGAGAGTTAAAAATAAATAAATCTGTTGATCTGGAAAGGAACATGAGGGATAGAGTTGTTATACTTGCTTTGGTGACAAGTGAGTCACCTGGAGACTTGGGGCACACCTTAAACGAATCAAGAACAAAAGACTCCACCCAAAGGCAGTGCCTCTCTTCTGCCCTTTATCACTGTCCCTTGGAAATATTCTAATATCTGGTGGGAAGGAAAGAACAGCATGAAGTATAAGAAGTAAAACTGCACTCTATGGTCCTCCCCTCTTCCTAGACCAAATCTGCTCAGGTGTCCTACATGACCCCAGAGAGGGATGCCCTTGAAGAAGTTTGTGTGCTCAGAACAGTAAAATTAGATTTGAGGTCTTGGCTGGCTGGGTAGCTCAGTTGGTTAGTATCGTCCCAATATGCTCCAGTTGTGGGTTTGATCCAGGTCACAGCATATACAAGAATCAATCAATAAATGCATAAACAAACAAAACAACAACAAAAAAATGATATTTCTCTTTCTCTCCCCAGCTTCCTTTCTTCCTCTAAAAGCAATAAATAAAAATAAAAATAAAAAAAACTTGCAGGAAAAACATGAGTAGCTTCCCATCTAATTCCACTTCAAAATATACATATTTATAAAAATATGCATGAGAATGATACAACTGTACCAAAAGAATGAGGTAAATGGGATAAAGAATGAAGTGAGAAGAAAGTTGGTATTTACAGAAAGACATTTGTTAAAATTCAAACACATATATCCCATCAATTATCTCATTTTCTAACAACTTTCTATTTCTATGGGCTCCTTCAAACAAGGGAACTGCTTGGATATTTGTTTATTTGTATTTTAACCTCTTAATCAATATTTAAAAAGTAGATAACATTTAGGCTAGGAAGCTTGGCATATATATATATATATATATATATATATATATAGGCTTATACATTAAATTGGCTTATATACTATTAAAGATGTATGTATAAAATTGGGCCAACTGTAACAGTAAATTGTGTTCAATATAAGGAGGATTATATCTATGTAGGGGTTTTCACAGGGGCATCCACAATATTTCTAGCAGCAGAATGCATGGAGTTTTCCGTATCAAGGTAACCACACTTAGAATTGAGAATTTCAGTTGTCTTAACTCAGATATTAAACCAAAATGGACGTAAATACACACACATGCATTTTAAGTTAAATCCATGACAAATATACTTCGTACGTCATTTTTAATTCTGTATAAGATGATACTATTTTAAGAGCTGGTTTATCAGGTTGACAAATTCTATTTCCAGGAAGTTAACCAATTCCTTGCATTACTTAATGGGTAAACTTGCTTGGTAGTTCCAGTGTTGAGAATACACTAAACTCTAGAGTGATGGTATGGCACTATCTCTTGAAATCCAAACAACTGACACAAGTGAAACAAGATTATAGAATCTGATTATTTTAAAATGTATATTTTTATTGATTTCAGAGAGGAAGGGAAGAGGGAGAGAGAGAGAAACATCAATGATGAGAGAGAATCATTGATCGGTTGCCTCCTGCATGCCCTACAATGGGGATTGAAATAGCAACCTGGGCATGTGCCCCGACTGGGAATCGGACCATGACCTCCTGGATTATAGGTCAACACTCAACCACTGAGCAACTCTGGCCAGGTGGAATCTGATTTTGTATCAAAGTTGAATATATTGCTAAAGGCAGACAGGGTTTTAAACTGATACTTCAAACAGAGTATGGATAAAGACAGGAAGTAAATCAAGTGGCACTTTTAGGCATTTCTTTCTGGAGTGAGATTTTAACTAAATTATCACTCCAGTATGGAATTCCTTAAAAAATAAAACAAATAAAACTTTTGAAAACAAATAGCCACTTTCTTAGATTACAGCAGTCAATGAACTTTGGAGTCAGAAAGACCTGGGTTTAAGCAGGCCTTGAACAAATCACTATTCACCCTAAATCTCAATTTCCTCATCTGTAAAATGGAGAACATAAAGCATCGTTTCACAGAGCTGCTGTGAGAGTTAAAAGAAAATAAACAAACTTACAATTATCCCTCATGTTACCTAACATTTAGTAATGCTATAAAAAAATGCTGGCTAGTATTATCATAAATGGAAAAGGTCAATAGGAAAAGACTAAGGCCACTTAATCTACCCTAATACTTAATTTTATTCCTGAATTTTTATTAATAATAATCATTTCCTGAGTATCATGGTTAACGTATAACATAATATACATTAATTTTGACAGATACTTCAAGGTATTCAAAGAATAAACACACAAACACGAGGTTATACAAATAGAGACTGAATCAGACAGTATACAAACCATGGTACATAAACACACATGTGTAAAAAAAAAATTTTACAGTGTAAGTAGCAAGAGGTTGTACAGGTTTTTACATAATTATTAACAGAATAAAGATTCATTCAGAAAAGCAAGCTGCTCCAGTTATGAAGGAGAGTTTTAAAAAATGGCTGAGGCCAAAACCGTTTTAGCTCAGTGGATAGAGCGTCGCCTGCGAACTGAAAGGTCCCAGGTTCGATTCCGGTCAAGGGCATGTACCTTGGTTGCGGACACATCCTCAGTAGGGGATGTGCAAGAGGCAGCTGATGGATGATTCTCTCTCACTGATGTTTCTAGCTCTCTATCCCTCTCTCTCCCTCTCTATAAAAAATCAATAAAATATATTTTAAAAAAATGGACTGAGGAGAAAGGACGTAAAAGCAAGTGAGAGCCGGGACCGGTTTGGCTCAATGGATAGAGCATCGGCTTGGGGACTGAAGGGTCCCGGGTTCGATTCTGGTCAAGGGCATGTACCTTGGTTGCGGGCATATCCCCAGTAGGGGGTGTGCAAGAGGCAGCTGATCGATGACTCTCTCTCATCGATGTTTCTAACTCTGTATCTCTCTCCCTTCCTCTCTGTAAAAAATCAATTAAAAAAATAAAAATAAAAAAATAAAAGCAAGTGAGAGGTAGAGGGGAAGAGAAGAGACAAATCCTCAGTGCACTGTAATCCTTATAGAGGAGAGAAGGAAGAAACCCTTTAACAAGATTGGAAAAAACAAATAGTGACACCACAGAAGTCAAGAGCAAAGAAGGGCAGTGGCAGATGTAAACTAGGCAGATCCAATATAGTAGAGGCAGAAACAAATTTTAAAGAGAATCAAGAAGCTGGAGATTAAAAGAAAACTGGAAGTAGTGGAAGTCAACAATTAATTTATTTGTGAACTTTACATGTGAACAAGTTGAGGCAGGTAACAGTGTGCTATAACCTAGAAGAGATTTCCTGAGGATGGGGTGATCTGACACACTTAAAAGCTACCAGGAAGCAGCAGAGAAGTTGATTCTAGAGATTAAGAAGTTAAGAATCTAGAGGGGAAGAGTATTCATAGAAAATAGAAAAGAAGGGATTTATGAAACAAGGCTTAAACTCTTAGGCAGTCTCAAGCAGACAGCTATACACAATTAGCTGCCAGTATACACTTCTTCTCCAGATACTCTGACCTACGATAAGGGGGTTACCAGGCAACACACCCCTCTATTTTAGCTCCATCAGGAATTCACTTCCAGACCCAACTACATCTGCTTCTCTACCTAAAAGATGGATCTTCAGGCACTCCCATTTATGAATTCTCTTGGTTAAAAACCCACAAAAGAACCATGTCTTTTGGTAAACATTGTTGTCCTTTATGATGTCTGCTTACTATGTCAGACACACTCTCTTCTCCATATACCGTATACAAATCTCCAAAGTAATACTTAAATATTTTTCTTCATTTAGCTCATGATGTTATTTCTTCATCTTGCCAATGCTCTACCTTACTGTGCCAGATCATCTGATCACAATTCTCACCCAGGAGATCCTGAACTTCAGACTCTCTCTGAGTCAGACTTTACTATCTTATTCTACATATTTCACATATTCCCACTGTCTCCACCCTGTCCATACCTAGGCAAACATCATTTTATAGTTAGGTATAAGCAAAAACAGCCCAATCCTCAATTCACTATGACTTTCTTCCTTCAAGGATGTGGTTGAACTTTTGCTAGATGTCAAAGTCAAATTCTGGTATTTATTTTTCTGTTTTTGGGATATAAAAGCCCTTCATATTAGTTGGTGGCTCAAAATGTAAAAATATATATTACAAAGTAAGCCACTGCTTCCTCATAAGAATCAATATTTCACCACTACATATTTTAATGTTTAATGAAATTAACCTAAAGGTCTGACTATAGGATTATGTATGTCAATCCCAATACTATAGTATTGATCTCTCCCCTTTCTGTGTACCTATACAGTTTGACAAAGTACAACCTTCAACACCTCATTACACTTATTTGTTTATATGTTTCTGACTTTCTGTGCCTAACAATAATTTCTTAAGGACATGATAAATTTAGGTATGGGGCCTAACTCTTCATCTGACATATAAATGACAATAAATGAACAAGAATAAATGGATAGCTTATATATAATCAAGAAAACTGTTTCTTATCCTTTTATTCCCTAAGTGTTATTCAACTGGACAGATATTTACTTTTTACAAATGGCTAAAATTCTGTTTTTAAAATTCAGCTGTCGTTTTTTTAAAAATATCTGAAATCTAGCCCTAGCCGGTTTTGCTTAGTGAGTAGAGCCTGTGGACTGAAGGGTCCCAGACTTAATTCCAGGCAAGGGCATGAGCCTGGGTTGTGGGCTCAATTCCTAGTAGGGGGGTGCAGGAGGCAGTCAATCAATGATTCTCCCTCATCACTGATATTTCTCTCTCTCCCCCACTCCCTTCCTCTCTGAAATCAATAAAAATATATTTAAAAAAAATAAAATATCAGAAATCTAATTGTAGCATTGCCATATCAGTTTCTTATATCTGGATCCCAATTTCAAAGAAAACAGTTGCTATAATAACTATTCAGAGTCTGCATAGGTGGTGAGATTTAGCTAAACTAATTTGAGACTGGTCAAACTGGGCATTTCCAAGTAGTCTATAAATCATATTGATTTTGACTTCAAACCAAGTTATCAAACCAGAACCACATGATCCTTAACCCTAGACTCAGTTCATTAGTTTCCTGTAACATTTCCAAGTTGTTACATATTTTTCAGTAATACTTCCCACTAAGTTTCAGATTGCATTTATTTAAAAGTCCAAATAATGCCTGAATTAATCTCAGGCATTAGTAATAAAATTTGCCATTAAATTACTAAAAACTAGGAGAATTCTAGAATGACCAAGAGAATATGACCAGTCAATCCCAATTTTTAAAAATAACTACATAGTATCAAAGCCAAAATAAAAAGAATATTTATAGGGATAAGTATAGTTTCCACTAGAAATTTACTGGGGCTAACAGCCAATATAAAATCTGACATTTTTATTAGCAGCTCAAGTTGTCAAATAGACTTGAGTCTGGGGTTTGGAACAGCTCAGGAAAATATGACTGTTGGTCAAAGAACTTGCAGGGACTCAAATTAGTCCTTTCCTCACTGGGCTCAAGTTTAATGAGTGTAATGAAAATATTAATAATCTATGTTTCTCTCATATCAACCCTTGAGTTTATTTAGAACTATAGCAACTAACTAAAGTAAACCAAGAAGTCTCAGAATTTGAATTTTCAGCATTAATATTACCAAAATGGAAACTAGAGGCAGTGTATGTGCGAGTATGTATGTATCCTTACTGAACCCTCTACAAAGCAAATTAAAGAGCCAGGTTCTAGGAAAATTCAGTATTAACTCTGCAAGGTTATCTATAAAAAGGAAAGAGAATGGTATCAGGCTGAAGAAAGCCAGGCAGTGGTTCTTAAACCACCTTGCCTAATAATATATTGTAGCCACCAGGCAAGTTAATTCCCTTGTTTTTTCATGTAAAACTGATACTGGGACAAATGAGAAGACACTGAGATCCTGGTCCTTTTTTCTTTTTAAAATTAAATTTTTTTTTCAATTAGTTAACTTTCAACATTATTTTGCTTCAGCATAATTGTTAATCATATACTTTAAAAAGTGTTTCCCCCAGCCGGGACCGGTTTGGCTCAGTGGATAGAGCGTCGGCCTGCGGACTGAAAGGTCCCAGGTTCGATTCTGGACAAGGGCATGTACCTTGGTTGCGGGCACATCCCCAGTAGGGGGTGTGCAAGAGGCAGCTGGTCGATGATTCTCTCTCATCGATGTTTCTAACTCTCTATCCCTCTCTCTTTCTCTCTGTGAAAAATCAATAAAATATATTTTAAAAATAAAATAAAATAAAGTGTTTCCCCCAAATATTCCCTGTCTGGCACCATACACAGTTATTACAATAATATTATGTTTCTTATGCTGTACTTTACATCCCCATGACTATTTTGTAACTACCAATCTATACTTCTCAATCCTTTCACCTTCCTCCTTTTTTTGGCTGGGCTAGGGGGGGAGGGAGGGGGGATGGGAGTGTTTCTAGACTAAAGCTATATAGTTCCTTTCCTCCCCATCACTAGCCCCTCTAAAATAAACTTTTGAAAATGGTTTGAAATGTGAAAACAGGCTGACAAGTATTTTGTTTTTGTTACTTAGTAATCTTCACCTGAGGCTATTTTTCCCTATTTTTAAAGAGAGTGGAAGGGAGGGAGGGGGGGAAAGAGTGAGAGACACCTCTATTGGTTGCCTCTCACATGCACCCTTATGGAGCCTAGAGTCAAACCTGCAACCCAGGTTCATGCCCTGGACTGGGAATCGAATGAGACCTTTTGATATGCTGGCTGATGTCCTAACCATTGAGCACACCAGCCAAAGCTGACATATATTTTTATGTTAGACAATGAAAAAAAGCCAACACATCTGGGTTTAACTAGTTTAGCAGTTAAGAAAGTGGGGAGTAGGAGGTCTGCACACCCTCAAGTATTTCACACTCCCCTTTGGGACTTAAGACTGTCCCCAAAGACTTATTAGGAAGACTATCACAAATATAGGTTCACAAATCAAATCAAAGAATTAATACAATCATCAAATCCCAGAACACAAGTTAAATATCTGAAGCCTAAGGAGGACAAGAAGAATTATGTGCTCCATTTACAGTAAATGTTCAATAAGTATTTAAATACCAGGCCTTATTGGATTCCTTTTCTGCTTATTGTCACAGGAGACTTTCCCCAGAAGAGCAAGCACTTCTGAAATAAAGCATGGGAAGGGAACAGTAAGTCCCCAAACCAGCAACCCATTCCTTACTGTATGAGGGGGAGCCTGGAATAGAACAAGGCAATTCATTCAAAGTCAGAGTGTAAAGACAGGCCACTACAGAGTATTTGCCCAATGTGACACAGCATACACTTAACCTCCTACGAAAATGACCTGACCTTGCTATAGGGCAAAGCAAACATTAATGCTCCCTCTTCACAAGGGGCACTTCACAGATGCAATGAATAGCTTTGCAAAAGATTCTTTCACTGAAGTATACTCCTTGACTATTTAGGACAATACCAAAACTTCCAAAAACTTGTGATTGCACACAACAGTATTACAATAACTGGTCCAACAAGACAAGCAAAGTACATCTAAAATATTATTTGCTTCTTGATCTAGTCCAATAGTTCTAAGTTACCAAAAAGGACATGAAATATATATATATAATTCGGTTCAAATGCTGTGTGTGAGTGGAAGAAATTAAAAGCTCTTCTTTGATTACATCTTCACAACAGAAATTGCAAATATTGATAAAAAGGAAATAATTTCATCGGTTCTTTTGTGCAGCGAATGCTTCTCTCAAAAGTTATATAATTCCAGAGATATCGTAAGATTAAAAAAAAAATGATGCAAAACACTGCAACCGGGTTTTTCAAAAAGTAGGTCGTGAATTATAACTGGCGGGCCCGGACCAATTCCCAACATCCAGCAATCTACGTGCAGCAGCTAGCATTTCTCCACCGCGCTGCTGATAACAGTGATTGCCGTGGCAATCGCCTCGCAGCCTATCTCCCCGCACGCCCTCCCCCCTGCGCTGGGGCGCGCACAGGGCTTGAGAGCAATCCCCGGGAACTCTCACAGACCGGCCAGTGTGAGCAAAGGGAAGGAAATGACACAGGCAGGAAAAAAAAAAAAAAAAAGCAAATCAAGGAAAAGACACAACAGCAGCTGGGCCTGCACCAGCCTCCAGCCCGGGCCCCACACTGCGCTCTGGCTCCCCCGCCCGACCTCGGGCTCGCGGTCCGGCTCGCTCGGGCCCGAGCGGGCTGCCCCGCCGAGCACGGGCCCCCATCCCGCCGCTGCTTCCTCGGGATGCGCCCGCCGCGCAGCCCGGAAGGAGGCTGCGGAGTGTGTTCCGCCGGCCTGGGCCGCCCGGGCGGGCCGGGGGGAGCCAAACCCCTCCTCCCCCGCGACCGCGAAGCCGCAAGCCGAGCGGGCGGGCGGGCTCCGGCAGTTCGCAGCCCCGGCCGGGCGGGCTGTCCATGCCTGTCAGGCGGCGGCCCAGGGTCCTCCTCCTCCCCTCACTCATCCTGGGGCGGAGCGACGCGAAGGAGCGCGGGCACAGGCCGGGGCGGTGGCGACACTCACCCATGGTGGCGATGGCTGCGGCGGCTGGTCGGGCCCGAGTGTCACCTCCGCAGCCGGAGCTGCATGCCGGGGGCCCGGGCGGCGGGGACGGCAGCGGGCCCGGCTCCGGGCGGGGGGCGCGGGCTGCGCTCGGGGCCCCCGCCGCCTCCCCAGGCTCCGGCTCCGGCTCCGCCCGCGGCCGGGCGCTGTGGCATGGGCAGGGTGGCTCGCTACATCCCCGGCGCTCCTCGGCTCGGCCCAGCGCGGCCTCGGCTGCGCCGCTCGGCCCGCCCGCCCGCTAGCCCCTCGGTCCAGCAGTCGTTCCGTCCGGCCACCGTTCTCCACCTCAGGAACGCTCCGAAAAACAAACCGCTGGTCGCGCAGCTCGCCCCCTTGCCTGCCACTCACCCCAGCGCTCGCCAATCCTAGGCAGTCGCGGGACCTTCGTCCCACCCCCACTCATTTCAGCAGCCAATGACAAGGATGAAGTCACTGCCCCCCCCTCCCCCGCGGCCACCGCCCCCCCCCACCTCTCCCTTCCCAACACCCTCTCAGCCGCCAGCTAATCATCAGCACCACTCGAAGAACCAGTCCCGCCTACTCTCACAGGATGCCAATGGGCGAAGCCAAGGAGGTTTCCGAGGGCTATCTACCGCCTGCCAATCATCCGAACAGCACCCGGTTCACTCCGCTGCTAGCCAATCACGGAGACGGCTCTGATCACCCGCCTCTGCGCATCCCTCGCTGGCTCGCCCGCCCTCTCTCCCCGGGAGGTGCAGTTTGCTCCAATCACAGCTCGCGCGTGAGGCCCCGCCCACACCCCCACCTCGCGTCAGTCGCCCGAGGCTCCCGGGCGCGCGGGCTGGCGCGGTTCCCTGTCGGCTACTTTGGGGCTGGAGTTTGGGAAGGAAAGGGGCTGGATGCGTCCCCAGGCCTTCCGCCTTCCTCGCGCTCCGCGTTCCCGAGGATAGCTAGTGTCCAGCCCCTTCCTCCTGGTGCCCACGCCGGTGCGTAATCAGCGGGGAGGGTTCTGGCTTTGAGCGCTTCCCGGAGGGCGTGTGGCCGCTTCTTCCACGCGATCCCCTGGCAGGTCCTCCGTCCAGACACCGCGGGGGCCTGGAGGCAGCGGCGGCCTCTCCACGGTCTGCCTCTCCTGCGCCTCAGACCTCCGGGGCTACACCCGCCGAGAGAATGGGGTAGAGCTAGAATGTGGGTCCTCGGAAATCTGGGCGTCCCGCCGCTAAACCAGTAAGTGGCCAAGCCAAGTGGTTCTTTAGGGATGCGGGGAGGTAATACAAACTTTTCTTGTTGTAAAAGCAATACAAGCTCTTTGTATTAATATTGGAAAAAAAGAAATCCCACCTCAGAGATTACTGTATCTTTCCTACCTAAATATACATTTGACAAAAATGGCTTCAGATTGTTTTGTGGTGTGCTTACATTATGTGTTCCGTGCCACTGAATATTGTTCCAAAACAAGTGTACTGGCTGGCTATTTCAAAATAGAGATTGACCATAATGAATTTCCCCAGCACCCTCTCCTCCCCCCGTTGTTCAACCTTTTGTACACCCAGATGTTCAGATTCCAAGCCCACCACCATTACCTAGGGCTCCCTTCCTCGGGTCCCTGTTCCAGTGTAATATAAATGAGATGCCGGAGTGCTCTTCCTCAGATGTGATTTCCAACTGTTAACTAAGAGCCTTTAGTGGAGGCTTTAAGAATTACCTCTTTATTTATACCCCCACCCCAATATTTATCTGGCCTTTTCTCCTGCTAGTTTTTGTTTGTTTTTTTTTCCCTAGAACAAGCTTTTAAGTCTATCATTTTCCCTGTTGAAAGATCCCTATTCAGTTTATTGTAGTTCCCTAACCATAATAATCTTTTTTCTTTTTCTTTTTTTTCTGGGAAGGGGAAATAGAGTACGGGGAAAAGAAAATTAGTATTATCAGTCATTTACAATAGGCCAGGAATGTCCTCTCATTTCGTCTTCTTAATAATTATTTTTTAAATTATTATTATTTTTTATTTCAGAGAGGAAGGGAAAAAGAGAGAGATGAGAGAGAATCATTGATTGCCTGCCTCCTGCACACTCCACTCTGGGCATTGAGCGTGCAACCCAGGCATGTGCCCTTACCAGGAATTGAACTGAACTATGACCTCCTGGTTCATAGGTCAGTGCTCAACCACTGAGCCACACTGGCTGGGCCCTAAATATTCTGAGGTCAATAATACTATTTGCATTTAAATTATGAAAATAAAACTTAGAGAACTTAAGTACCATGTACATATGGTAGAGTCAGAAAAAAAATGAGAGAAAAAATTGCTGTCTGGAGACAGAATAGAGAAAGTGATATGTCAAGACCAGTGTGGTATCTCTCATAACACTGTTTTGTCAGAACTACTGGTTCATTTCTCTTTATAGAATGTCTCCAGAGCAGTCGCCAAGGATTCAAATAAAAGTCTAAAGTTGGGGTCTCTTAGAGTTTGATGTTTTATTGACTGCTATGCTATGTTTCAGAGACAGAAAAGAAAGTAACTCAACCATATGGATGATCTTCATAGTGGGCTGGAGGCAGAGCCTTCACTGTTCCTGTTTCATTCAGCAGGGCCTCTAGCAGAGGGTGGGGGGAAGTTACATATCACATGAACGCTTCTTTTTAAAGTCAAAGCAATGGATAGAGCCTGTCACAGATACCTCCAACCCACTGAAAGGACGCCTGAAAATGAACCCAAGCCAGCTATAAGGTGCTAAATAATTTTATGTTGCTAAGACAGTGGCCAAAGATAAGGCAAGGGCAGGCCAGGACCAGAGCCCATCCTTTTGACTTTAAGATACGCCTGAGTCCCATCTTCTCACCTGCTGCCTTCCTAGTTGGACAATTTTTTAGAAAATAAAAAATTGACTAGTTTTTTAGAAAATAAAACTCAGTTATAACATCATCATCCAAAGATAACCAGTTTTGACATTTTGATACAATTCCTTTTAGTCTTTCTTAAAAAGATATTTTTTTAAAAAATGTATATATTTTTTATTGATTTTAGAGAAGGGAGAGAGAGAGAGAGAGAAACACCAATGATGAGAGAGAATCATTGATTGGTTGCCTCTTGCATGCCCCCTACTGGGGATCAAGCCCACAACCCAGGCATAGGCCCTTGACTGGAATCAAACCTGGGACCCTTAAGTCCACAGGTGGATACTCTATCCACTGAGCCAAACCAGCTAGGGCTAAAAAGACATTTTTATGGCATAATAAATATTTTAAATTTGGGCCATACAATACATATAGTTTTGCATCTTTGTTTTCCATTTAACATTATATTGTAAATATTTGCATATATTGACATATGCAATATATTGACATATTCTTTGGAAAATAATAGCTAGTGGCAGAATAACTCATATCATCTTTAACTATTCAGTTAAATAGTTATTAAACTACCCTGTATAGGTAAGGTTCTCTTTACCATATCTAGAGGCAGAACAAGTTCAAGTATTATACATAAGATTTCATTTCCACCTTTCCCATATTAACTGCAGGAAAGACTGAGGCACCACCAGGGGTCAGTGCAGAGCCATCTAGTATGCCTTGATGTAAGAAAATTGGTTAAAGAATCCCTATTAACAAATCCTATCTATTAAAGCACTATTCCACATAAGTAGCAAATTTTTTTCCAGAGTGGGCTTCCTTCAGAAATGATCACACTCCTCCAAGTTTATACTCAACATTTACAAAACAGCTATTTTGTAAACTAAGGTCTATCAATACAAGATATAGTATTAGACCTGTTCTTACCTGCTTGGTATGAGGTTATTTGTGCATAAAATACTTGGCCTAACTATTTTCTAGGTTTTTTGTGAATACCAAATAAATAAAATACATTATAATTTATGAAGTATTTAAACTTTTAAGTTGCCCTATTTTAATGATGTGCTATTCAGATATTTAGATAAGTTTTCTCCTTTTAAAAACTAAAGAATCCCAGGTAGTATAACGATAATGAAAGGAGGTATAAGAGCATATACTTTGGCATGATCATGGGTTATTTCATTAGTTTTCATTCCCCTAACCTTCACTCTTCAGATGCTTAAGTCATCAAAGAATTAGTAATCTGTTTTTTTCTAGAAGCTGAAGTTATCATCTATAACTAATTTCGTTTTAGTTCTTTTCCATCTACATTTACCTGAGATTTCTTTAGGAAAATTGCTCTGAACTCAGACTGGCTTATAAATAGCTGAATTGCAGGGATCAAAAAGCCAGTCCAGGCCTGACATGATTGATGGGCTCCAGAACAGGTGATTGGCACTCCTGGTCTCTCTAAACCCAGAAGTGACTATTAAAAGCAAAAGGTACCAAGGGTCCTATTTCCCACCTGGCCACGCTTTTGATCCAGTCTTCTGTTCTCATTTCCTCTCCAGTTCCCAGTACCTCATCATCTGCCATTAGGGATGAAGAGGAGCTACGGTTGAGCATTCTGGGGATCAAACAGCTTTCTGAACCAGCTTGGTATGGCCTTTTCTGAGAGTAACCTAATTTGCTGACTTGTCCACTCTAACAAATTTTAGAGCACACAGGAACCTGGGCAAAGCAGGATTCTCTTATCATTGGCACTTGATTTCCTATTGGCTCCCTGACACACAAAGAGAACAAGAATGCATGTGCGCCAAAACCGGTTTGGCTCAGTGGTAGAGCTTTGGCTCAGTGGTAGAGCATCGGTCTGCGGACTGAAAGGTCCCAGGTTCGATTCTGGTCAAGGGCATGTACATTGGTTGTAGGCACATCCCCAGTAGGGGGTGTGCAAGAGGCAGCTGGTCAATGTTTCTCTCTCATCGACGTTTCTAGCTCTCTATCCCTCTCCTTTCATCTCTGTAAAAAATCAATAAAATATATTAAAAAAAAAAAAAAAAAAAAAAAAAAGAATGCATGTGCAGCAGCTTGCACTGCCCTAGGACAGCTCTCCCTGAGGCCCTATGTCTTAGAGTAGGGTCTAACACAGGGCACCAATTGAACAGCTAATGCTCTTGGTAAGTATATTCCTGGTACATAGTAGGTATTTGATAAACATCAGTTGCATGAATGAATGACAGGTTTAGGCCATTCATTCATGCAACTGCGTTAGAGCACAGAGTATCTGGAGAGAGTTACATTTCTATAGTCAATCAAAAAACAAACAAACAAAAAAGACCCCAAAACAACAGTCCTGGGATTGGAGTAGTGGAACTAGGCTTATAGACTTGAAAGGTAGTCAAGGGGGTCCTAACATCTGGACACAAACCCAGGAAAACTCATGAGCTATACAACAACAATGCAGCAACACAGATCAATCACTCTTATTTAAGAGTATATGGGCCCTCACAGCACCTACCATCCCCCGAAGGGCCAACTTCCTGAGATCACAGTCTGACCAGCTGACCAGCCCCACTCTGCATCAGGAGGGAATGGGGAGACTCATCCAGGAGCGCTCTGAGACACCAGCGGAGTTGACAAAGAGGCCCTTGAGAAGTATGCGGGATTCCTGTGTCCACAAAGCTGTAGATCGTGTGCCTTTGAACCTGCTAGGCTGCAGACCTATTTCAGTTAGCGGACACTGTAGAAGCCTGTGCTCCAGAACAAGCTGCCAGTTGCCTAGGAAGGAGGTGGAGGGCGCACACAGTCTGGTTACTCAATGTTGTCATAGACCTGGATCACGTCCTCATAGTTGCCAAGAGCCTGGATGAGGTGGGCGGCCTGCTCCAGGTCAGGGTCAGCCAGCCGCACCTTTGTGTTGGGGATGAATTCTTGTGCACAGGACACAGGACACAAGCCCAGGGAGTCCAGCTTCTTCCTCACTTGATGTAGTGAAGAGGGATCACAAATAAACTAGGGACAAAGCAAAGTCAAGGGATGAGGAGCCAGGAGATAACAGGACAAAACTAGACAGAATATCATAAGACTTGAATAGAACTTCTATATCTCTAGGCTTAAGCTCTTCACTGGCAGAGATATCATTTTCAATTGTTTTGAGTCCTCCTCACAGTCCTGGGTAGAGTAATTCCTATCTAGTATTCACGTAATAAATGTTTGTGCAATAGGTGAAACCTTTTACTTCACCTGTACCCCAGGGGCAGGAAAGAAGAAAGAGAGAGGCATGCCTTAATGCATCTATAAGGCCCTCTTGGAAGTCCACCAAACGCTAAGGCTTCATACTTACTTTAAAAATGTTTTGTTCCTCTTCGTCTTCAGTTTCGTTAACATCCTCAGCTCCTGCTTCAATCGCCAGCTCCAGGGCACGTTCTAAGCTCACTTCTTTCTTCTCTTTGTCCTTCACTCCAATCACAATCACCCCCTTTTTGTCAAAGGAGTAGCGAGCTCCTTCAGCCATCATTCCCCTGATAAAGGAAATGGGTCAGAAAAATGCTGTTAGATGCTCAGCTTCCACACAGCACTGCATGTCTCTCTCCCACCTCACCTCTGGCGCCTATACGGACATGGAGCAGCTCTCTTCCTGAAGATGCAGCCACCACTGGGCAAGGGAATAATCCAAATATATCCCCACCCTCTATTTTCTGCCATGTCTTAAGTTTAGAGGATGCAAGACTTTGCTCATCAATTCCTATGCCATTTAGATTCCAGTCCTGGGGGTACATTTTAAGATGTGGACATTATAAGGCTATAGATGAGAAGGGATAAAGAGCCCCTTCGACTGTTATGAACAAGTCTTTTGGATCCTGCCTAGTACAGAACACATTAAGGGAGACTAAATGATCCCATTTAGATTCAGCTGAGGATGAAGAATGTATAAAATCTGAACCAGCACCAGAATGGACAATACTTTCCTTGCACAGAATTGGAACCTAAAGGCTCCTCCACTTTCCCCACACACCTACCCATTCTTGTTCAGGATATGTTTGATGTCCGAATGGCACTTGGGGCCACTGTTAGATAATGCCTCAATGAGCAGAGAAGAGCCACCTGGGCCTCGACATTCATATAACAAATAAATGTCCTTGGTTTTCTGCAAAAAACAACATAAGCATATTTTCCTGTTTCCCAAATCCCTCCCTGCATGTCAGCCCAGAACCACAGGCACCACCACCGTATAATTGACTCCATGAATGGGCTCTTTGGGCTTAAGCCCAAGCTCTCAAGTGTTTATTTTTGTGTTTCTTCCCTTCCTGCTCTGAGAGGAGGCCCATGGGACCAACATTTAAGGTAATTAGAAGTACTACTCCTTACCTGGAAGGGAGTCTATTTCTCTGGTCCCTGAATGACCAATTAGCCATCTCCCAGCTTTGATTCTTCTTCTCCACAGCCGAATTTCACACCTACCCACCCTTATAACTCCAACCAAAACTCAACCTTCTTCACCCTATCCTTTATGAGATCCACCTGTGCTACCCCTGGGCTGCTCCTACTCCTGGGCTGCTGAGCACCACTACACAAAGTTGCACAGCTACGCCTTTTCACAAGAGCCATTGAAAATAGCATGGCCTCCAAATTTCAAACAATTGATCAAAAACTATAATGACCAATCTTATCTCCCATGCCACTTTGCCCATGCATCTAGTCCTTGCCACTTTCTCCAAGCACCCTGCCTGCTGCCTTCCCAGGAACTCTCAACTGATAACTTGTCCCTTCCTCTTGCACAAAGAAAATAAAACACCACCAGGTGGGGAAAAATCCCCCTTATCTACACCAGGCCAACATGAAAGCAATATTTGTGATAGAGCGAGGTTCTGGAGTCTGTCTGTTTTCAGTTGGTCAAGTCACCTAATCCTTCCGTGTCTCAGTTTCCACTTAAGGTTGTTCTGAGGATTTCAACATTCCATTTTCTTATCAAAGTGCTTGGCCTGCAGTAAGCGCTCAGCTATTAGCTATTAAGATGAGTATTACTTCTTCAGATCCTTCCCACTTGTTCCAGAGGAAGAGATGTCCTCTCACCTGGGCTCTATCACTATCATCTGAACTCTCCCTCTTTTCTACTGGCTCTTCTCCTTTGTGCATAAATATCAGAAAACAAATCCTTCCTCAATCTAATATCAGAACTTGCCCCACACTGTGCTTACTCTTTCTACCCCATCTCCTCACAACTCAGCTGAGCAATCCTCAATCCTAGGTTCTGTGACTCTGTACATTGTTTATCTACCCTATTCTTGATTGTACTCCCATAACCAATGGCCAAGGAGAGCCATCAAAGGGCTCTGGATTGAAGGTGTCAACCACATTACTACCCTTCTCTCTGATGACTTAAGGAGTGTTTGGTGGCCTTTCAGACATGGATCCTGTAGAAGCTCTAATAACAAGAATGTCAAGCTGAGAACACACCTCCATTTTCAGCGCTGTCTCAATTGTTGACTTGGGCATGTGCTTGTTGCGACACACCTCTAAGATGTGGGCCAGGCTGCTGTTGAGGTCAGGGTTGGGGCCTCCTTCTGAGATAGAAAAGAATGAGTGAAGTCATGTCATTTAATTATTTCCAGACCTATACCCCCTCATTACCCAGAAGAGTGGCAAATTACCACTTGGTTCTCCATTAGTTTAGAATACTTTATCCAGTGTTTATATGGAATATGTAGGAGAAATGTTTTAGAAAAATTTTTAATTCACTCTGACTTAGAAAAATGAAGGGCCAACGATGGGATAGGCCCTGGCCCAGCTCCCGGACAAACTAGGCAAGTGAGGTTTTGGGCACAGAGAGAGCAGTAGGACCAGCCGTGAGTGTCGGTCAGGTTCTCACCTTTAACCGCTAGGCGGATGCTCAAAGCAAGCTTGGAGAAGATGCGACTCCTTTCAGTGTCCTTGGGACCCTTGATATGTCGGACTTTGGACCACTTGTTGTGCCCAGCGGGGGCTGCGGTGGTGCGGTGCAGCGTCCGACTCCGAGCGGGGCTACAGCCCGGGGGATGGGGCTGAAAGCCTGGGGAGACGCACGGAAAAGCCGCCTGGGCTCCAGGGCCTAGAACCCGCAAGCAGGGTCCAGCGGTTCTGCTCAGATTGACAATGGTCCAAGCCGCCATTGGCTCCGATCCTGGGCCAAGGTCAGCAAGAACAGAGAAAAGAAGCGGCTAAAGCGCCAGTCCAGTCACCGCCGGAACAAGCAGGTCAGGAGCCTGCGGTCGCCTTCACTTGTCACCGGTGACTCAAAGGCTTAAGGCCGCCGGGAGCAGCCGAAACTCCACGGACCCCGCGCTGCGCCCGCTGCAGCGGGAGTGGGTCATCTGGCCGGTGTAACACACTTCCTCTTTCCGGTCCGTTCTAAAAATGCGTCCCCACCGCTCTCAAAATCCGTTCCGCAGCTGCAAGCCCTCCACCACGGTTGCCCTGGGGAGCGCAGGACTTTATTTCCCACAATGATCTAGTAGAGATACGTCTGAGTTAGTAAACTAATTTTGCTTCTGAATTGCTTGCCAACTCAGAGAAGGTCCAAAATGAAAATATTTTGTTGTTGCAAAGAAATGTATATTCCAACAAACCTCATTTTTCAGGAAAAGAAATCGCCCACCAGAGGTGTGATTTACCTAATTAATCCTTTGATCTCTCTGAACTTCCTTTTCGATATTTGTAAATAAGGATGCTACTAGTACTTGCTTTACATAAGGTTACACAAAATAAGCCCTTGCAGTTTTAAAAGAACAGTCTTATGTAAATAGAGCGGTCATCAATAAGAATCCCCCTTTGAATTTTAAGCTGTAACTCACATTCACTTATGCATTGTTCTTTTATTACTGTTTGTTATACAAGCTACTTAGGCTCAACTTTCCTCCTTGTATTTTGAAGATTAGAAATACCAGATTGCTGAGTGGAAGTGGAAGAGGATGGTCCTTTATGACTAGCTTCTTTCACTTTGCTTGTTTTTGGGGTTCATACATGTAGCATGTATCAGTACTCATCCCTTTTTATTACCAAGTAATATTCCATTGTATGACTATAGCACATTTTATTTATTCATCGGTTGATGGACATTTGGGTTATTTCTACCTTTTGACTATCATGAATAATGTTTTTATGAGCACTCATGGCTCTGGTCAGTGTGACCAGAAAGGTTATCAGTTTGAATCTAGGGCACGTGCCTGGATTGTGAGCTCGATCCCAAGTGAGTGGCATGCGGGAGGCAACTGGTTTCTCTCTCACATTAATGTTTCTCTCCCTTCCTATCTCTCTAAAATCAACAACAAAGAACTTATTATAAAAACTAATAAAACAAGTAAAAACCTCTCCAATCTTCATAGAAAAATAAAAAATAAAAATTCTTGTGGCATACCAGTTGAAAATTGCTGGTATAAGCAAATCCCCAAATTTTTGTGTTCAGTCTCAGATTTTTAACTGCAGCATAGCCCAGTCTGAGATGAATAGTTTACTCTCCTAGCTTTCCCCTTAAAAACCAAAGAGCAAAAATCATGTATTTCCCATAAAATGCGCAGTCAGACCACATAGCACAGTTCTAACAGAGCCAGCAGATGCTCATTTTGCCACATAAAACAAACTCTCAGAGTATATACTTACCTTCAGTGACCCATTGCCACTCCCAGCTCCATTCTTCTGACATAAGGGCAGGCACTTAGTAAATCTGGCTCACTGAACGAATCACAATTTTGCTTTTCTTTCTTCCCTTAAAATGGCCCACCAGGAATAAAGAATGACAATAAAAATAAGCGGGAGGAGTATTCAGCTAGGACTTCCTGCATTTAGATGCCAGTGGGGACAGGAACTCCTCCATCCTACTGTTGGGGAAAGTGGCTTGGGCTTGGGAACTCTACTTATCACATTAGAGCCTAGTGTCCAAACCCACAGGATTTAAGAGTTACTATTTCTTTATCCTTCCAATCGATTACTGAATCCTGATTATCCTGGCTCTTAAATCTTTTCCATTGTAGCCTCTTCTCCTTTCCTGCTTCTCCTTAGTTCAGGCTTTTTTTTTTTTTTTTTTTTCTTTTTTCTCACTTCAACTATTATAACAGGTGAATTAACTCCCTCTCACCTCTCACTCAGAGGTAATTTTTTTATTGCTCCCTAAAATGCAATTCTGAGCAAGGCTTCCCTCTATGTATAATTTCCAGTCTCATACAGGAGTAAGGTCTAATCTTTCTACAAAGCACAAAAGATTCTGACCTGGCTCCTGCTTACCACTTTAGCCACATTTTCCACCAGTTCCCGTATAAAACCCCACATCAACTTGTATTTCCCTGAATATGATCACACCCTTTCTTGCCTTTTAGATTGGTGCCTGAATGTTTCCTCTGCCTTAAATGCCTTTCCCTATTCCTGGAGAATCCCAACTCAGCCTTCAAAGCCCAGTTCAAGTATCTGTCTAATGAGGTTCCCCCCAACCATCTCTGGCTCCCACCCAGTCTAAGGTGATTACTAACTCCCCAGGGCTACCAGAAAGCCTGAACACACCTATTAATGCACAACACTGACAGTATTTGTTTATGTGGCGTTTCCTCTGGTAGACTGTAAGCAACTTGTGGGTCATGGTCCCGGGCACAGAGTAGACACTCTGTGTTTTGTTAAAGGTGATAAGTCAGACTGTCAGATAGTGATGAGCTGGGGTAGAGTCTAATCCCCCAGCCCGTGAATCTGGAACATGACCATGGTAGCAGAATGGGAAGGACTAAATTCACCACAAGAAATTATTCAATCAACCTATATATGTTCAAGTTTTATTACAAAGTATGATGGGCAGAAAATACGGTCTTATACAGGAGGCTGAAACAGAATGAAAGGGCAAAAATTAGGTTTAATATACTCAGGAAGCAAGAAATAAAGTCATAGACATAACACTCCACTTTCAGGTGCCTTTGAAATAGCCATCAGTGGGGATTTACCATTGTGGTTTCACAGCACAGTGTTAAAATTTTATTATAAGCCCTGTGTACAATCAGTCCTGTGAAAATAATTTCTTAAAAAGAAAAATAGTTACAGTACAGTTGTGTAAGGGGCAGCTTCCTCTCCACCTGACCATAGGAGGCCACAAAATCCATAGAATAGAGGAAAAGTTTAAATATATAATAAGAAAGTAAGTCCAGATACACTAGGCTAGATCGATTGGCTAGAGCGTAACATTTCAGAGAACAAGAAATCTCCATTTCTACAGAGAGGTTTGTACAATCATGCTACAAATTCACACTAGGGAGAGGAGGGATGGAAAGTCATAAAATACGAAGGAACCAAAGTAAATGATTCATACTCGACTCAAGCAAGTCAAAGCTTTAGCTCAACAAGTTTCATAACATACTGTACACAATCAACCCAAGGTGAGAAATTTCTTTCAAATAGCAGATATCACAAGTTCATATTCACTTACTTGTCCCAAAGGTGGGCACTTAAAAGTTTCCCAGCTGTTATAGAGAATGCCAACATCTTTCTTCTTGAGTTTATACTTCCATTAGCTTATTTGTCTCTGGTTTTTAATACCAGTCCAAGCCTCTTTGGAAAGGCACCTACATGTCCCATATTTAAAAAATAACATCCAGAAAGAAGCCTGAGAGGACCAGGCCCGTACATTTGCCTTTGACCATTAGCAGCAATGACCGCTGTGGGAGAAAAAAAGGGTGCAGATGGGGGAGGTGGTCAAGGCTCTACAACATGAGACTTCCTCGGTCGCTTGTTCAGCTAGCAGAGAAAAGACAATTCTTAGAGAGCCCGGCCCTATCATAGTGACTGCTCAGTTCAGCTTTCCTCCCAGGAAAACGCGACTCAAGTGCCAAGCATGACGCTCCTTCCTCATTCTGAAGTGCAGACCGTAGAGAGGCGTCTGCTTTGAGACTTCTACTTCGATGGTCTCCCTTACCCCAAGACAGGCAGTTGACGAAACTGCCAAATTCTCAAACTGGGGAAGGTGGAGAGATGGTATGGGGCTGGAACTGCCATTTTGAAAAACCCTGCAGCTTCTGCACAGCCTAGGAATTTAAGGCCCAGGCTGCAGCAGAGAGAAAGCTCTACAGTGGAAAGGGAGTGGGAAAAGAGGGTAAGAGAAAAGGGAAGCGTGGGGAAGTTCAGCATGACTGTTTATATCCTCTGCTCCTTTGGCTCTCTAACACAGTCTCACCCCATGCCACACAGCAGTCTGAATACTTCCTCACCTCAGGCCATTACTGTCCTCTAATACTTTCTCCTTTGATCTAAAGCAACACTTACTATTGATTTTCTCCCACATCCTAAATCGCCTCCTAAAATTTCAGCCACAACTATCATCAAAACCTTGCCGAAGTTTCAATTTTTTCTGTTCCCAAATCTTAACCAGTTCTCTGAAAGCCAATCCTGGTTCTAACAAGAAATTCTCACCTCATTATCAAATATCTTCCATCTTCAAGTCCTCATCTTGCAGCCCCATTCCTACCTAAAAGGAGAGGGTTAAACTCTCCAGAGGGTAAGCACTCAAGCTCTTGAAGCCTTGTGCCCATTCACCAGCTGTGTGTGTGGAACCCGAGGCCTAATTTATTCAGCACTTCCTCCTCTTCCCTCAGAGGAGAAGAGAAAAACCAAAGGCAGCTACAGCTCAGGGGCCACAAACAAGCCAAAGGGTCACCAGAGCAAGAGCCCAGAGGGTGTGTGGCCTTTCCAGTGAAGTCCTGGTAGCTCTCTTCTCCCTCTCGAGGAGAGCAGATCTAGAGCCCCCACCGTGGTCTCTGACTGACAATTTGAGAATCTAAACAAACTAAACAGACACTTGCCCTTGAAACTACACAGATCTCTGCTTCCTGGAACATGGCTGGCTTAGAGGCTGTCTCAGTCCTGGAAATGCAGAAATCCCCTCCTCAGAATGAGGCCATTTGGCCTGTGGCACAGAGGGTGAGAACCAGGACTTCCAAATCCCAGCATCCCAGCAACTGGGAGTGTTTGCTCAGGGAGTGGGGGAGTCTCAGCTAGGCCCCAGGCTGGATGTCAGGACTGCACTGTGGGGCCTAAGGACAGTGATGGGGCTAGGAAAGAGTCCAGAGGGCAAGGGGGAAAACATCAGAAGCTATAGATTCCCAGAATAAATAGCAACTTTACCCAAATATATTCTAATTACTATCAACCAATTATTTTTCTCCAGGTTGTTTTTGAATTCTAGTTGTACAAATCTCACTATTCAGACCAGGCTTAGGTGCAGATCAGGGAAGGGATCTTAAATCAGATCTCAGCACAGTTAAGCCCTGCCTCAGCAGGACCAGCTCTCTCTTCCATTCTCATCTCCACTTCAAACCCCTTTTCACAAGAAGGAACTGATGGCCTCCTAGAGAAGGGCTCTGGAGTCGTCAAACATAACTACAAGCAAAGAAGGGTTCTGACCAAGAACTGCTCACTTCACATCTCCAAATGACACACCACAAATCTGGTAAATGCAGAAGAGTAAAGCGCAAGCAGCTGAGTAGCCAAAGAGCCCCCAAACCAGAATAGAAAAGAAAAAGGTAGAAAAGAAATTAACAAAAGAGCCTTTTGTTTTTACTTTGGGACAGCCTCTGTGTAGTAAAGCAAAGAGCTTTGGGGATAAAAATACATCTGCTTCTGAAAAGGAAGACTCAACCAAAGGGTTCAAAGGGCTCAGAAGATCAAAGCTAAACTGTCTTGTTTCTCAAGAGCAGGTGAGCGCCTCAGTGGACAAAATCATCAGCCTGATGGTTTGCTGCTCTCAGGCTCTTAGAAACCTTAAGCCACTGGGCAGAGCAAGATGAACCGGGCAAACTCCCGCCCAGACTCAGCATGTCCCAAATTCAGCCAACTACCAGTGACATCCAAGCCCCTCCATGGAACTCATTCACATAATGGAAACAGACCCCTGCAGCCTACAAGTTCAAATACTGCTCAAATTTAAACTGGAGCTCTTCCCTGGATGACCCTGGGTTCTCAACTATTTACTTGATGGCCTGAAATCATGATGGCCTCCCTTACAAGAGCTTACAGTTTCCCATACTCTAACGAAGATCTTGTTCAGGTTGCATGCCTCTCAAGCTGGAGTCTCTCACCTCAGAGCTCTCAATCCAAAGAGTGGCTGATATGTCACCAGTCACAGTTAACCAAACAAACATAGAGATACTGAAGTTCAATTTATAGATCATTCTTGCCCATCATTCAAAACATGAAACGGAATGGGCCTGGGGCTTTTATTTGGAGGGAAAAACAGACTCTGAACTATGTACTGGAAATATGCTCTAGGCTCAGCTTTCCTGAAACTATTCCCCTCAAGTTAGGTGCCTGAATCAGCCTATTTCAGCTCTAGCACGTTCCCAATAGGTCCCAGTGGGGTTGGACAGAGGTACTTTGGTGAGAAACAGAAGGCTTCACACGTGTGTTTTGGAGCCCAGAATGCACCTGAGAAAAGCCAGACTGAAAAAAAGTGTGAAAGCTGGCCGACTTCAGAGCACCAAGGCGGTTTGGGACTCCCAGTCAGGTCTGTTCTGCTCAGGCAGTGATGCAAGAAGGCAGACTGCTCATGGGGTCAAGGGCCTAGTGCCAGGTTTGGGCACTGAGGGAGGAGAGGAAGGTGCTATCAGGGAGGACTCTGAAACAAAGGAAGAAACCAGAGAGTAAAATTCTTTTCATAAAAAAATTAGCCTGATAGATAAAAAATATACAAAGTTGAAATTTGTACAGACATTGATAACAGGAGGAAAGACAACTTCAAATTGGTATTTGTTCCCACTTAAGTGCTAACACGGACATGGACACAGATTGCTGCCTTGGGCAACAGACAGAGACATCTGGGGCAGATGAATACAAACACAGCCAGTGCCTGTAATGCTCATTAACACAACGGCTGACAAACTAATATACAGAAATGTTTAATAGAGGAACTAAAGAAGGAGAAAGGAGAGAAAATCTTAAAACTCAGCCCTGGGCTGAGGAGGTGCCACACAGCCCTGAGTGCAGCACAGAGAGCGATGGGGTGACTGGCCAGGAACTCCTAGAGCAGCTTCTGGTAACAGTGGGTGCAAAGCAATGAAAGACACACTGGCCACTGGAAACACGTTTCTTCTTACTTTGGGGTGGGGCAGAGGCGGGAAGCACGAAAGCCTCATGAACATGGTGCCTCCAACACTACACTCTGAGTATCTCCAGGCAGTTGTTGTAGCAGATGGCGATCCAGTCAGGCTGAGTGGATGCCCACTGCACGTTGTTGATCTCTCCCTCAGCTGTGTATGCCAGGATAGGGTCCTCGATGGCCCGGGGCATTTGCTGAATGTCCCAGATGAGAGCCTGATGGTCATCCGCTGGTGACAGAGAAAGGCAGAAGCAAGAAACAAGGTCAAAACTCAGGCAAAGAGGATAATGATCCCTACATTTGGTGGTGCTGGTGGTCAGGTTACAAAACATTTGCTCACCAAAACCCAGTGAGAAAGATTTTAAGCCCCCATTTTATAGATGAGAAAACTGAGATTCAGAATTTAAAGGACTTGCCCAAAACCACAAAGCAATGGAGCTAGTGAGTGGCAGAGCCAGGACTCAAAGCTAGCCTCTGGCTGTCCCAGGGCTGTGTTCACTGCATCGGAAGTAGGCGATAGAATGGGACCTGGTGGGCATCTCTCATCCTATAGCACGCACCAGGAAAGGATGAAGGGATGAGATAAGGATTGCAAGATTGAGTTTAGTTTACTTTTTTCTAGTTCCTAAGTGATCTGTAATGTCTATCATGTTACTTTTATAATCAAAATAGTAAGTTCTTAGTCTAAGAGAAGAAAAAGCAAGGCAAGGACCTTTAATATCAATGTCTTCTAATCCCATCAGCCTATCCTGATGTGAAAGCCTGCAATTAAAATTTATATATATATATATATATATATATACACACACACACATATATATATATATACACACACACACATATATATATATAATTGATTTTAGAGAGGGAGAGAAAAACGTCAATGATGAGAGGGAATCATTGATTGGCTGCCTCCTTCTGCATGTCCCTAATGGGGATAGAGCCCACAATCCAGGCATGTGCCCTTGGCTGGAATCGAACCTGGGACCCTTCAGTCAGCAGGCCAACGTTCTATTCATTGAGCCAAACCAGCTAGGGCAAGCCTGTCTTTTATACACAAGGGAGCTGAATAAACTAAACCCTAACTGGCTAGGCACATATGGGCAAACGGAGATGTGAAAACTACAGGTCACACACCAATGACCAGACCAGGCTACCCAGGGCCCTTCAATGCATCCAGAGCTCACTGTAGGTTCATTGTATCTCCTAAGGGAGATGTCAATCTTGGCAGTCCCAAAGACTCTGTTACGTCTACGACAGACTGCCCCTCTCCTTCACATTCATGGATCCAAGTCCTCTGTGTTAACCTAGATTTCATGGGTGGATATATGAGTGACACAGCCTGTAACTGATACATGATGAAAATAGTACATGGAAGATGCTCTGAGAGTACAAGCACACTTGGGAAATTGGGCTGCTTCGTGTTCACAAGTGTAGAGAAGTTCTCAATTGAGTTACATTGGTAAGTCTCTCAAACTATTCTCAGGAAATAGTAAGGATTACAATTCTAAGGAAACAAGAAAGATCTCCTTACCTCTCCGTCCACATCCTGCCCTCCCCGTCCACATCCTGCCCTCCCCCACCATGTTTACCTGCAGTGCAAATGTGGCAGGATGAATGTGGGGCCCACGCAATGCCATTGACGCATGCTCGGTGGTTGTTTAACCTTGCGACAGGCGTGCACGGAACTCGGACATCCAGAATCACTACCTGCAGAAATAATAAGGAAAAGGCTTCAGAGTGTAAGAGAGAGAGAGAGAAAAAAAAGACACTACACAAAAGAAAACAAAATTTTTACATCATAATTTCCTCATTTGTGGATTTAAATATTATTAGATACAGAGGGTCTCTGTCCCAAAAGTAGCTACTGGATTGAAGAAAAAGAAAAAAAGAAGACACAGGTAGTTTATAGTCTATATCTAAAGCAATACAGGGTCTTTAGAATGATATGGAAGGGGAGAAGCAGGAGTAGGTAACATGAATCTGGATAAAGCACCAAGTCCGTTAGATATGTATGCTAAGATTCTGTGGATGCTTAGTGGGACAGAGTGACAGCACCCTCTGCCTCCAAAGCAGAATTCAGAATGTAAGGATTCTGAGGTGCTGGCTTCACCAAAACAAAGTTAACAACTGAATTGTCTCTACTCACAATTTAGTGCTTGTGTCAAGTAAGAGGCTGCAGAGAGTTGCCATTTCCATGTCTGTTTGCTAAAGTTGGAAGAATTTGTCCTAACTACAGAGGGGGAAACTGCTTCTTACTTAGCCTCGTAAGCACGTATGATTTGGTTTACTTTTTAGATATTGCTTTTCTTGACACCAATCCCAACTCCTTCAAGTATTAAAGTTTTTAACATATTGTGCTTATTCTGGATCAGGTTTTTTTTTTTTTTTCTTCTTTTTTTTTTTTTCCTTCAAAATATATTTTATTGATTTTTTACAGAGAGGAAGAGAGAGGGATAGAGTTAGAAACATCAATGAGAGAGAATCATCGATCAGCTGCCTCTTGCACACTCCCTACTGGGGATGTGCCCGCAACCAAGGTACATGCCCTTGACCAGAATTGAACCCGGGACCTTTCAGGCTCCAGGCTGACGCTCTATCCACTAAGCCAAACCGGTTTCGGCTGGATCAGGTTTTCTTAACCTCAGCACTCTTGACACTCTGGGGCAGATAACTCTGTCCTGTGCATTGTAGGAGGTTTAGCAGCATCCCTGGCCTCTACCCACTAGATGCTGGTAGCACCCACCCCTTCCTATGCCCCCCTCCCCTCCTAAGCTGGGTTAATCAAACTATCTCCAGATGTTTTAAAAAATCCACTGGGAGAAAACTGCCACCAGTTGAGAACCACTGTCCTACATATACTAAGTAGTGCCACAGTTAGGTTGCAAGGCCATGTAGCCTGAAACAGGGTGCTCACCTCCATTCCATCCATGGCCATCGTGGCCAGGTAGTTAGGGTCCTGCTTGTTCCAACAGAGGCGAAGCAGTGGGTGATGCTGTGGGTCTTCATAAATGATGGTGCTGTGTTCTAGATGGCGGAGGTCAAACATCCGCACTGAGCCGTCAGCACCCACAGAGGCAAACATGTCCCTACCACCGCCAGCCCGGCTAAATGCAATATCATAGACCTGTTGGTGAATAAGACACTTTAGCCAGATTCCGACCCATTACCTCCTTTTCCATAGCAGGAAATCTGCTATCCCTGGGTCACCTGAACCTGTTTATAACACAGGAGGAGAGAAATAAAACCAAACAATGTCTGCAAAGTCTGGAACCTGAGAGCTCTAACATCAGTGACTTTCCAAAGAGTGAAGATCATCCTGCTATAGAAATTGGCTGGCTTCTTCCCACAGTCCTGCTTTCCAAGTCTTCTTCCTCCAACCTCTATGATAAACAAAGAGCACATACCCTGCTGACCAACAGGGCACACGGAGTTCTGAGCAAATATTCCCTATGCTCAGACAGGCTGAGCTCAAGCCAGACAGTGTGGTCTTCTATATGATACAAGATTGAGGCATTGACTTCCTGAACCTTGACAGCTTCCATGTGTATGGGGTCAGAGGCAGATCCATGACCACAATGAGGCCAAGACCATAGTTTAGAGAGGTACAAGTAACCCTCCTATGGCCACGTAGCCAAGCTGGTTCTGCTGTGAAACCTGGCCCTGAGACTCATTCCCAAGAGAGAAGTAAAGCAGATTTATACCACGGGAGGCATTTCTACATTTGCAAGACATGTTGTTTCTTCTCCTAGTTGGTCTGCATTCATAAATGGTTTAGGTTTTGAATCACTGTTTCCTGCATTTATTACTTGCTGCAAACGCTGCACATCACTACTGTCTATGAGAAAACAGAGGCAGAGAACAACAGAGAACTTCAGAGAGAAAAAAAGGACAGAGAGAGACAAAGCCAGAGCCAGACAAGCAGAGAGAAGAGACAAAGTGAAAAAGAAAAACAAATGAAAGGAAAAGCAAAACCCATCTCTGGGGACAAGATTAACAACAGCTGACTTCTGGAGAGACATGACCGACTCTCACTGAATACCATGGCTCCACCTTCTCGAGGGTCTGCCTGCCAAGGGACACTGCGACACGAGCATCTAGTTCTATTCAACCTCACAAATTCCTTCTTCTCTGACTATGAAGAAATCACACTTCTCTTTCTACAGTAGCAATGATTCAGAAGAAACCGGGCAGTCACCACAAGGAGGCCCTGCAGCTCAAGGCTCTGTCCTGCCTGAGGGTAGGGGCACGTTAATCAATGTGAGCACCCCAGGGGGCCGGCTCTCAGGAACCAAGAACAGGGATTCCACAGCAGCATCACTAAACAACAAGGCGGTGTGGGCAATGTGACGAGTGTGTAAAGCTCGCTCAGCTTTAACTGACTGCTTCTTCATCGGGCTCCACCAGAACATTTCATTATAAACCAAGGGGAGATGACAACCCACATATATGCTACCCTCCTCTACACGAACCTGCCAGGCAGCAACAGGAGCCCCCAAACAAGACTTTACTTTGACCGTGAGAGGTGGGCTGAGAAAAGCCATAGGTGCAAGGAGGTATCACTGTTTCTCTCAGAGCAACTATACTCAGATACTCAGGTTCATTTCTTCAAGGCCAGAGCCTGTTTGCTGGTCCTGGCCTTCCGCTCTGGCTGGGAGAGGCTCAGGGATTTCTCCTCCCCTCTCCCTGTTCCCTAAAGCATCTCTGGCAATGACTGTGTCCCCTCCATGGCTCTAGCTTTTGCCAGGTAAGCTCAGCCCCTGGGCTCCAGTAACCCTCCCTGTCCCCTTGGCCCTTCTGGCTTGAGGGCAGTGCCACTCCCTGCTGCTCCTATTCTCCACATCAGCGGTCACCAACTGGTGGTCTGTGGGCCACTGGTGGTCCGTGAGATCTGAAAGGTTGGCAACCACTGCTCTAGATTGCCTCACTGCTCCTATTCTCTAGATTGCCACATCTGTGTAAGCAATCCCCTGGGTTAAATCCCCTCTGTTTGCATACTTAGAGTAGCTCTGGATTTCTGAAATGGACCCTGACAGAGAACAGCAGATACATTGTCACTGAACTAAAACGTAGCAACCTGTTCCACTTGATGTCAACTGGGTTTCCAGAAGTCCCTTAGTGGTCCTCTCTGCAGGACAAACCCCTCCTTTATCCCTTGGCTCAGTAGCAGCCCAGGCCAGCAGTTTTGTAACAGATCTTACCCTTACGAGCACAGAAAGCCAAACAACAGCCCCTTACTAAGAATGATAACCTAGTTACCAACCTCCCATTCTGTGGCTAACCTCAAGTTTCCGATCTAAAGTCAAGTCATCCTTTTTATCTGCACAGATATTAATATCTCTTGCTATGCAGGGAAAGGTAGAAGAGAAAAGGAAACACTGCCGCAGGAAATCAGAGAACTAGGTGCATGCAGCAGCTCTGGGAGGAAGGTTTAGGACCATTTTCCAACATCACTCATGACAATGCTTTGATTAAAATGCGGCTACAAAGAGCTCCCTGTGGCTTTTGCAATCAACACAGGAGAAACATAACCATCAAGATAAACCATATTCAATTCCAAATAGTTTTAAGAATTAAATGAACATACTAGAATTTCATGAAACAAGTTTAGAGAAAAATTGATTAACTAGGTTTCACAGCCATGAAATTTCTCTCTTCCTGCCTCTCCCTCCTAGAAGCAAATATATTTCAAGATAAATGTTACTCTAAGATTCATTTTAAAAAATAACATATTTTATTGATTTTGTACAGAGAGGAAAGGAGATAGAGAGTTAGAAACATCGATGAGAGTGAGTCATCGATCAGCTGCCTCTTGCACACCCCCTACTGGGGATATGCCCGCAACCAAAGTATGTGCCCTTGACCGGAATCGAACCTGGGACCCTTCAGTCCCCAAGCCGACGCTCTATCCACTGAACCAAACTGGTCTCGGCTCTAAGATTCATTTTTAATCACATCAGGTCTAAATTTGTCTATAAGAGAGTTCATTGTTAAAAAAACAGCATTCTTTGGCATGAAAAGAAAAATTACTACAGGACAAGTTGTTGATATCAGTCAAAAAAACACATTCCTTTACAATAGTGTTGTTTCTACTCTTGACACGTTACTATTTTCAATTCAGACACAATGTCAGCATTATGATTTTCCACATCATTTGCAAAACAGTGAACAGACAAGACAATGTGACCCCACTGAAGGCACAGAAAGCAGAGAAGAACAGCATCATTACCTCTTTATCATGGGCAATCAGCTGGGTCTTCACATGGCCAGACACGAGATTCACTCGCCCCAACACCTGTCCTGTCTCCAGCCCCCAGATGGTACAGGTTGTATCAATGCTGGAGGTACCTGGAAACAATCAGTGCACGTCAGTAGCTGACAGGAGTGAGGTTCCCAGGCAAGCTGCTCTCCTTGTGCCTACTCAACAGTTCAGCACAGGAGACCAAGCCACAAACACTTCCTAGCATAGGGAGGGTATCAGCAGAGTCAAGTGTTCAATCCCTATCAGAGGACCTTAGACTCTGACTGGAGACAAACATACACCCATGGGAAGCTTGATTCCATGAGGAATGAACCACATTCCCTATCTAGTCTCTTTCTCGGTTGGCCCCATTCAAGGATGATGCTTGTACCTCAAGCCCCTGGTTAAATCTGAAAAAACATACCTTTGCTTCTTCAAACTGTAATCTACACCCCCTCACCTAAAAGATAAGGATCCACTTCATTCCAGTCAAAGGAGGTCAGAGGAGCACAGAAATCTGAGTTTTTGTTATTATTTAGCAAACATTCCAGCCTGGTCTCCGTCTCACCAACCTAAAAGAACAACGAAAAAAGAAAAAATCAGCCGGTCATTTTCCCAAAAAACGTTTTAGCCCCTTTTAGACAATATCATAGTAAATATAAGACATGGCGGGGGGACATTTTTACCATAAAGAGTAATAAAACTCAGAGGAATTCCCTGACTGTTACTTCTCTACAAGCTTTTCCCCCTGCCTAGCTTGTTTTCCAAATTCTTCTAGGGAAGAGACCTTCTCACCTGGCCTGGCTGGGCACTTACTACACCTCCAGGCCAGGAGACGCCAATGCTGATGAGCTCAGCTGAGAGAGGAGGTGAAGCTCACCAACTGCATAATCCACACGCATACTTGACTAGAATCGGTGGCCCGGTAGTCTGTTCAATTTACTCAAAAATATCTTGACTGTAAACAGAATAAGAGGCCTCAAGTATCTTCCCCCTCCCAGAAAGTTCTATCAGGTTAGCTGAGCCTTGATTTCCAGGGCTGGCTGTGGCCAGCAGCAGGGACTTCCTGGCTAGGTCTACTAAGAAATCTGCTGAGTCAAACAAGGTCATTTCAGATCTGCTAGCATTTGTTTCTCCCTCGTGGCAATGACACTGGCTGCCTCCAAGCCCAGCCTGTTCTGTGACTCCATGCTGCTGCTAACAGCGGAAACAGCACCTGCTTACCCTCCACACACGGAGATAGTCACCACTTGTTGCCAGTAGGTCCGGATACACGCCTTTTGTGTCCGGGATCCACATGAGCTTTGTGGTGGGGTATGGGTGGTCAAAGGTGTTTCGGCAAATAAACTCCGAACTCTCTTCATCTAAACCAACAAGCTGAACCTGTTAACACAACAAAATTGAGCCGTGTCAAAGACGTCAGATTCCTGGGAAGTGACTGCAGAGTCAAGAACTATTACAGAGAGGTCATCTAGTCCAACCACCCCATTTCTCAGTGAGGAAGCCCAGACTCGAAGGGTTGGGTTACAGTCAACACTGCAAAGCTAGTAAGAGGCAGAGACAAAACTTGAAGACAGGTTTTCAGACTCCAAATCCTACACTCAAAAAAAAAAAAAAAAGATTATATATAATTTATTTCAGAAAGGAAGGGAGATAGAAACATCAATGATGAGAGAGAATCATTTATCAGCTGCCTCCTGCACGTCCCCTCCTCGGGATCAAGCCTGCAACCCAGGCATATGCCCTGACCGAGAATCAAACCGTGACCTCCTGGTTCATAGGCTGATGTTCAACCACTGAGCAATACCGGCCAGGCCAAATCCTGCATTTTTGACCCATAGAACTGCATTACCTGCCCATCAGGTTACACCTTCCCCCAAAACTCTGAGGCATCTGATAATGTGTGGTGCGAATTTAGACCCTGTGCAGCCCCAGTTCCATAAAACAAAGTGCATCTCATGCACAAACTGGCCTTTTCCCTCACATTGGCTAGTAACAAATTTATACATAAAGGTGTGAAAAACAAGCACTCAAGAATCCAAACCACTCTACTGGCAAAAACAAACAAACAAAAAAACTACTGAGAGGAAGTTCCCTGGTTCTGGTCACTTTTTCTTAGGATTAATTTTGGGCCAATATTGATTTCCATTCTTTGCTGTCAAACTTAATCAGGCTTAGTGGAAAATGCCATGTGTATTTGCTTAAGAATTTCCAGCAACTGGAAGATGGAATGGAAAATTTTTGCTAACGATCCATAATGAGAGGATAAGCACTAACCATACAACAGAAAACAGAATTCCTGTTACTCTTACTTCAGTCTTAGATACAAGTATCTACCCATCTTTTTTTTTTTTTTTTTAATTTAGGTACAATCGCATACAATAAAATTTCACTAACTTTAAGTGTTCAGCTCAATGATTTGGAATATATGTATTTGCAAATGTATACAATTGTGTAAGCTCTAGCATCCCCCACAATAATTAAAATACTTGCATCACCCCAAAAAAGTTCTCTGGTGCTCCTCTGCAGTCAATCCTCTACCCCTACTCCTAAGCAATCCCTGACCTATAGGTTTGCCTTTTCTGTAATACTGTATAAATAAAATTACGGTATTGAGACTTTTGTGACTTTCACATGCTGCTCTTAAGATTCATCCATGTTGTGTATCAGTAGTGTTTTCTTTTTGTTGTTGTTAGTCCTAACCCAAGGATATTTTCCCCCCATTGATTTTTAGAGAGTGGAGGGGAGAGGGAGAGTCAGAAACATCCATATGAGACACACCAATTGGTTGCCTCCTGCACATGCCCCAACCAGGGCCAGGGATTGAGTTGCAACCACGGTACATGACCTTAACTGGAACTGAACCCAGCACCCTCAGTCCCAGCTGACACTCTATCCACTGAACCAAACTGGCTAGGGCAGTAGTGTTTTCTTTTTATTGCTGAATAATACTGCATTATATGGAAACACTATATCCAAATTGATGAACTTTTGTATTATTTCTAATTTGAGGCCATTAATGTAAACTGATATAAACTATTTATGTATAAGGTTGTTTTTTGAGGGGGCAAATTTTCATTTTTTTTTCTTGGGTAGACAACCAAGAGTAAAACTGCTGGTTTATGTAAGTGTACGTTTAACTTTATTAAAAAACTTTGTCTGCAATGCCCAACCACCTAAGCCACACCAGCAACCTGTTTTCTAAGTGGCTTTGTCATTTTGCATTCCCACTAGCATCACATTAGAATTCCATATGCTCCACTCACTTGTCCGCATTTGGTATTGCCAACTTTTCTTTTTAATTCTAATAGATGTGTATTAGCAACGAACAATACTAAGCATCTTTGCATGTGTTTATCTGCCACCTGTATTTATTCTCTGGTGAAGACTGTTAAAATTTGTCCTTTTAAAAGACTTTTAGATTCACAAAAAATTGGGCAGGAAGTACTGAGTTCCCACACATGCACAGCCTTCTACACTATCAACTTAATAAGTGGTATGTTTGTTACAACTGACAAACCTACAATGATACATCGTTATCACTCAAAGTCCAGAGTTTAGTACCGTAGGTGTACTAGTTAACGATGCCGATTTTCTTTCAATAGACCTGGTTCCAAATATGCTGATATGTATGCGCTTTGATATATATGCTATTTTGTTGTATTGACAACAAGCTTTAAAACTTCCTATGTCAAATTTTCTGAAGGTGTTAACATCAGATATTTTTACACTTAAAAATGTCGAGTTTTGTGCCAAAAAAAGAGCATCTGCAGGAAGTTTTAATTCATTACTTTATTTTCAAGAAAAGTGCTAATGATGTACACTACTTTGAATAAAGCACTTCTGATGTTTCTCTTGAAATTATTGTTTTTTTTTAATCACGAAATCAGCATTATTAACCAGTACACCCAGTATATTAGAGTTCAGTATTTGTGTTGTACATTCTATAGGTTTTGACAAATATATGATGTGTGTACACTCACCAGTATAGTATCATACTGAAGTTACATTTTTTACTAGGTTCACTGTTTTCTTATTTGAGTTTTCAGAGTTCTTTGTATATTATGGATACAAGTCCTTAGTTATGTGTTTTGCAAGTATCTTCTTGGTCTATGGCTGCTCAGTAATTTTCTTTCAATGTTTTTTAAAGAGAAATTTTAGTCCTGGCCAGGAGGCTCAGTTGGCTAGAGGGGCATCCTGATACTTCAAGGTTGTGGGTTCAATCCCAATCAGGGAACATACCTAGCTTGTACCGTTATAAAGGTGCTCATTTCCCTATATTGTCAATAATACAAGAATCTCAATAACTTAAATTCCCATTTCCTTTAACTACCTGTGAGGTTGAGTACCTTTTCTTGTTTATTGAGCACTTGCATTTCCTCTCCTTGGAGCTGGCTATTTATATTTTGTCCATTTAAAAAAAAATCATATTAAGTAAAATAGCTCCTACTGTCTGCCATGTTTTGGAAATACTTCCCCTAGCCTAACATTTGTCTTCTTAAAAAAAAAAAAAAAAAAAAAAAAAAAAAAAAAATATATATATATATATATATATATATATATATATATATTATTGATTTTTTTACAGAAAGAAAGGGACAGGGATAGGGAGTCAGAAACATCGATGGGAGAGAAATATCAATCAGCTGCCTCCTGCACAACTTCCACTGGGGATGTGCCCACAACCAAGGTACATGCCCTTGACTGGAATCAAACCTGGATCCTTCAGTCCCATCAATGCTCTAGCCACTGAGCCAAACCGGTTAGGACTATCATCTGTATTTTGACAACATATCTTTTCATATAGAAATGTTTTATTTATGTACTATAATCTGTCAAGCCTTTCCTTAGTTGACTCTGGATTTAATGAGTGACTTACAGACTGTTTTCTCCTCTGCTCATCCCCACTGCCCCAGTACAAATTTATTAGTCAATGTTCTCCTGTTTGTGAGACTTTATTTACATTTAGATATTTTTTACCTGGAATTTGGTTTTTATGTATGACATGAATTAGAGGGTTTTAAATTTTCCTGCCAGATGGACAGCCAATTATGTCATATAACTCATTAATTCTACCCACCCACCCACCTAGGGAATTAAGGCATTATCCAATACTACACTTTACATATATTTAGGTCTGCTTTGTAACATTCTATGTGGTTCCACCAACCTCTGTGGCTATATCAATTCCAGTACGCTTATTCTAATCTGATAGAGCAAGTGTTCCCCAATGTTTTTCAACACCATTTCCCCATAATTTCCCCCCCTTTCTATACAACAGCATATATTTAAAACTTTGGAGACAGATAGTATTCCAGTTCTGGCTCTGCTTTTTCTTCAGTATCACTTTGGGTAAACCTCTTAACATATCTGAGCTTTAGTTTTCTCATCTTCCCATAAGTGTTGATATGTAGTATTTTTTTCCAATCTGATTTATTAAAACTTTAAAAATATATAGTCAATTTTTATAAACTGAGTTATCTTTTAAAAAGTGCATTTTCCCCATATAAACCTTACATATTAAGTGTATTTTCAGGTATTTACAGAGAACAATCTATAATAGTTGTCGACTTGCACACATTCTCTATTATCTTCTGTCAAATGGGGCCAGCCTAATTTCATTTTCCCCTCTTCAAGAGGACTCGATTTTTTTGCCTGGATGTCCAAAACATTCTTTATTCATCCTTAAAATGTAGAAGCTTTCCTAAGAAATGTTTTGTTGCCAATTGTTCTGTGTCAATTTTTCTTGAGGTATAGTTTGAACTCATTATTTCAAACCTGTATTTCTATAGTTTTCTTTAACTGCATATCTGAGTTTTTGTGTCTCCGTTCTTTGGACTTCTTCAGGAGTACCAATTATATCTAAGTTAGATCTTTTTCCTGCATCTATTATGTTCTTTCTAATTATTTATTTCCATTTCATTTTCTCAATCTGTCTTCTCTAACCTTCACTCTGTTTTTAGCAGTTGGTATTTTTATTCTTTTAATCCCCTGGTAATTTTTGTTTTCTCTTCCACTATTTCCCTGGGCTGCACCTGTTGATGTTTCATTTTCTCCTGCCTCATTTTATCAGATCGTCTGTATCTTTGCTTGGAGATTTTTACTTTCTTAAGTTCTTAGACTTTATGGTGGCAGGACTGGCCACTAATTTTCAACTGAGGTAAAAAAAAAAACAAAAAAACACATTTTTCTAGCCGAAGCCGGTTTGGCTCAGCGGTAGAGCGTTGGTCTGCGGACTGAAGGGTCCCGGGTTCGATTCCGGTCAAGGGCATGTATATTGGTTGCGGGCACATCCCCAGTCGGGGGTGTGCAGGAGGCAGCTGCTCGATGTTTCTCTCTCATCGACATTTCTAGCTCTCTAGCTCTCTCTCTTCCTCCTCTCTGGAAAATATCAATAAAATAAAAAAAAAAATGTAACTTCTACCGCTTACTCAAGTTAACTCTGGAAGAACTTGCAAGGAAAAAAACACATCTATTTGTATGAAGACTCAAACCCTTTAAAGGACATTATTTTACTCTTTTTTAACATGTATTCTTAAACAATAGTTCTAGGGTTCCAAATTTCACTAACACGGTTTCAGCACCAGGACCATGAATTCCATTCCCAGCTCTGCTGTCCACTATGGCCACAATAAGGAAGAAAGAGGAATCAGGGAAAAGAATGGTATGTCTTGCTCAGGAGTTTCTGGCTCAGTGGGTAATGAATGGGTGGACTTCAAGATCAGTGTGCACTCCATGGTATCTGTTTGTGTACTTCAGGCCAAGGGGAGTCCATCGCTTTTATCAGTTTCTCAAAGGGGATTCCAAAAGTGAAACGTTAACACTAGAGAAACAGCTGTGCTCCTGAAGAACTGTAAACAAACTTACAATGTTCAAAAATGTTTTTGACAGGACCTGCACCTTCCCTACAAGCTGTGGATCAGAAACAGTAAGACTGACGTGTGCAATTCCCCACAGCTAGTCAATGGGTCAGACAGGACCCAATCCTCAAGGCCTGGCTTTTCCCCCTTGCACCAGCCTATAGAGCAGGCGTGCTTTTTAAACACACTAGCCAAGGCTTTCCATTGCTCTGATCCTAGTCATCACAACATTTACTCGAATATGATAAAAGAAAGAAATGAAGCGGTAAAGGAAAGAAATTCTTCCCACTGACTCACTCAACAGCTTTCAAAAATAAATTTATGCTGTACTGCCAGCTTAAAAGCTTCCAACCCTTATTCTGTGAAGGCTTCTCAAATTGACGGGTGCTTGCCATTCAAGGTTACAAATCTGTATTAGTATGACGAAGCCAAGCAAAGATATGGCAAGTGTCATCCTCTATTCAGACAATAGTGGGATCAAGGCTACAGGCCAAGATTTCCAAAAAGAGACCGTTTTTTTAAAGGACAGATTATAAGGCAGCAATGGCAATCCTGGCAGAGGGGCCTGGGTAACCATGAATAATAGTACCTGGGGCTGGGAGTAGGGCTGCGCAATGAACTAGCCCTGATAGAAATCCAGTGTGGCCAGGAGTGAATGACCACCAACTGAAGCGCGAGCATCATCCGTCACAAGTTATCACTCCTTCTTTCCCCCTCCGCCCCACAACGGAAGCAATGAGGCAGCAGAGGAGGGAGACAGGAGTGGTAATAGCGTAGCATTAGGGTGCAAATTCGAGTTTGCGATCTGTTTCTGCCACGACAATAGCTGCCTGACTCCGGCAAGTCACAACACTGTGCCTCAGTTACCCCATCAGTAAAATGGGGGTCAGAGGTCACTACACTCCTGACTATCCAGGAATGCTGCCAGGATTAAATGAAACAAGTGCGAAACCCTCTGCTCAGGACCAGACTCAGAAGAACCGCTCCATAGGTGCCAAAGGCAAGTCCGTAGGAGGGTCCTGGGCTCTGGGGTCTGGGGTCTGGGCTCCGGCCCGGAAAGGGCACTCCTGGGGCCCGCTCCCCGTCAACTGGGCTCCGAGCCCCTGCCCGGCCCACCTTGTTGTTGTACTCCTCCACGAAGCTGCCCAGCGCCAGGCGAAAGCGCTTGTCAGGACGCACGCTCCAGTTCATGGCGTAGACGGTCCAGGGCGCCTCATACTTATAGATCTCCTTCCGTTTGCCGTGCAGGGACATGGCTGCGGCGGGGGCCGCAGTGCGGGCCGGGTCGGCAGCGGGATGCGGCGGACGGGGCGCGCGTCAGGCGAGGAGCCGGGCCTGGGACCTCAGGGTCCGAAGAGAGGCGGGGCCGGGGCGGGCAGGGACGGCCTAGCCCGGAAGCCGGGCCTCAGCGACAGACAACGACAGACAACAACAGCCTCCGGGTCCGACCCCCCAGTTTCAAACCAGCTTCTGGCTCAGACGACAATCACCTTCCGTTTGAGACGTTGCCCCGCCCCCCAGGAACGGAAGCCACGCGTTCCCCGAAGTGGCTCCGGGCGTTGGCTGCCTGACACGTCACTTAAGACGGCTCCTTCTCTTCATTGGCTATTGTACCTTTAGCTTTTGAAACCCCCTTGCTATTGGCGCAAATGGTTGTCACTCCAATGACCCGTCCCACTTAATCCCAGGGGGGCGGGCTCTTCCTCAGCCCCAAAGGTCATTGGCTGACAAAGATGTCAGTCAGGGAGGTAACAGCGCAGTGCGGGTGAATGGGGGCGTGGGTGGCGTAGAGGCGAGCGTATGGCGCCCCAGGCTTCCAAGTTCTAGGCCAAGTCTCTGCGAACGAAACCTCTAGGGTGACCTCCTTTGACTTCCACTCCGCAGCTGCTATTCCGAGCGGCTTCTCTACTCTGTCGAGTGGAAATTAAAATGCTGCCTTAGGCGAGGGCCTGCTGCGCTTCGCGGCCCTGAGACCCGCGGCCTGGCTGTCAGTCCGGCGAGCCAAACGGGAACGCTTTCCCTCCTCCCTCACGCTTACGCCCCCTTTGAACCCGGAGGGGAGCGGACAGGCGGTGTGCAGACCGACCCGCCGGTGTTCTCTGGGCCAGGCCACAGTCAGCCAGGCCTTCCCGCGCTTTCCTGTCCGTCTACAAATGCTGGGAATTCTGGGGTTGGTTTTCATAAGGCAGCTTTCCCACCAGCGTGGCTCTAAGTTCTTTCAGATCCCTTGCCATCCCCTTTCCGCCTCAGATCCCCAAGCAAAAGCTAATCAAGTGCTACATTTATGTGCCCCGAGTTTGAAATGGAGAAGGGTCCAGATCTTTATAATTTAAATGGTTTCCGAATCTTTTCTTTCAACAAAATTAAAGGAGAATTATAATGACTTGTTATGTATCACTAAATACAGTTTTGTTTTTTAAAAAAAATAATGATGTGATTGTTATTAGACAACTCAAAGAATTCAAGGAACTGAGTGACAGTGCTGTTAATGTAACAGAGCTTTGTCCCATCCATTTATGTGAACAAGTTTTCTCTGTGCTTAAGTTTTGTGTTTTTATTAAAGGAAAGAAAAATAGGTACAAAATTGTTGCTGAACCTTGTCTTATTTTAACAACAACAACAACAACAAAAAAAGCTATTCATCCACACACGAACTAATTGAGAAGAAAGTGATGCATTTCCAATATAATTTTAGTTTCTATAAAAATTTATTATATATTTATTTTGAACAATTCTCTACTAGTAAGTGTAACCCTTGCCTTAGTAATATTATAAAAATTAATCTTAAAATTTCAATGTACAGTATATATTTTCAATTTACATACCTGTTGCAAATAAATATGAGATTATGAATAATAAACTTTAAAGCAGGATAATAAATTATATGTAGCATAAACTAAGAAGAAGAGAATGAAATTATGAAAAAAAATTAAATGATGTTAAAGAAGTGTTTGTTCTAGTGTTTTTAAAATGAATGGTATTGGCTCTCAAACCACTATGCTCTTTGGATCAAAATGGATCCATGGCAATAAAACAGTTTAAAAAGTGTCAATATATTCAACACACTGGAAATGATATCCTTTACAGTTATTTAAACTTAATAATGAAATATTTCATATGTCAACTTAAAAATGTGCGAAGAGGCAAATACATTTTCAAATTCTTTTAGGGAATAATTCTTTTAGGGAGCAAAGAGGACTGAAGACCAGGTACTTTTTGGACAGCAGTCCATTTCAGTGGGGTAGTTAATTGTGCATATTCTCAAGCCAAACCATTTGGGTTGAAATGACATCCTTTTTCCCCCTCTATTGTGGGCAAGATTCCATTATTATTATTATTATTATTATTATTATTATTATTATTGTATAATTTATACATAGAAGTGCACATATTCTCACAACACACGCATGTAACCGGCACCTAGACCAGGAAACAGGTACCGAAAGTTGTGCTTGTGTAAGTTTTCTGTCTATCTCCGCTTTTGATCCCACTCCTCTAAAATGGGGAGAAACAATGACCCCTCAGGGAGAGGATTAGATAAACTAATACCTGAGGCAGTCAGCACAGTGCACTGAACAGGGTGACTTATGAAAGTGTTGGCTGTTGTCATGACTCCCAATGGCCACCAAGCCAGTACCTCACATTCCCCTTTACCCCAGCCTGACTAAAAGCTCCATGGTTCCAGGGCTTCTGGGTCCAGCAGGGCCACCTGCAAGTCCCCAACACATAGCTCTTGGTGAGAGGGGCTTGGAGAAGACAGCTGAGATGTTGGCATCATGGCAGAGACAAGGGCAGAATCACCCTCAGGTAAGTGACACACTCAGCCCAAGGTGAAATGTGCAGACTTTATTAGCTGAGATACACTTCACCGTCCGCTGGAGTCCAAAGGTCATCACAAAACCACAGGGACTGAGCCACCGAGGGCTGGAGCCCTGTGCCCTGATGTGTCCACTACAGAGGACACTTGCGGCTCCAGCCAGGACACAGGCTCTCACGGGGAGTCTGACCAATTTTGGGTGCTGGGCGGAAAGGCAGTGGATAGTTCTGAGCCAGGTGGGGATTTCACCGGGCTCAGAGCAAGGCTCTCACACAGAAGATCAGAAACTTGTCTTTTCCTCACTGACCCCGCTTCCTGTCAGCTAACTGCACACCTGAAGGAGGGTGCTGGCCCCTCCTTCAGGCTTGCTATCTAAACAGAGGCCCAGAGGCTGGGACACATCCCGAGCCTCCTCGCTTCTGCCATCTTGGGTTACCTAGGTTAGCAGTTTGTAGCTACTCAGAGAGCATGGTTTTCAGAGGTCCGTCTCGGCAGCTCTCCGTCTCCCCCAAATCCTTCACTCTCATCTCACCCACCTGCGATTCCCTTCCGGTGTCTTTTGTCTTGGGGTTCAGTGGCTCCAACTCCCTGCAAATCCAGGATCTGAGCCATGTCTGGGGAACTCCAGCTGCTTGGGGACAGAGCTGAGGTATTCCGGGAGGGAGGAGAAGCGGGGACCACAGACGAGTCCCTGCACCTCCAGGGGATGCAGAGGTGAGGCCAGGGATGACAGGAGCCCCTCGGGGCACTCCAGTTCAGAGGACAGTGTCAGAGTTTTGTCCATGGCCATGGCCAGCTGAGGCATCTCAGAGGAGGAGTTCCTGTGCTTCGGCCCACGTTGGTCCAAGTCACCACAGCTTGGGGCCTGAGAAGGGCAAGAGAGAAGGGGTGGGGGGAGGAATGCAGCAGCCTCCAGGCAAGCCCCTGGGGAACACCTCCCCTGCTCACCTGTGCAGGGGGCAGGCCACCCTGGGGCAGCCTCATTCCTGGACTCTGGGTCGCTGAGGCCACAGGAAACAAGGCCAGGTCGTTAGCGGAAGCTCCCAGAAGGTAGCCAGCGTGGCCCTGGGGCAGGGGCTGCTGAAGGAGCTGCAGGATGCGGCTGAGGTCTGAGGACAGGCGGGATTCCAGCCTGCCAAACAGGACAGGACGGCCACAGTCAGGGTCAAGATCACGGCCAGGGTTGGGGTCAGGGTGGGCAGTTCAGGGCCTGAGGACAGCTCCCAATTTGGTAGCCAACATGCAGTTCCTGCTGCTTGGAAGGGCAGCCTGGGGCCTATTGAAGCTATTTCCTTGCTACAGTCCAGAGCCTCTGCCCAAATTCCCCTAGCACATCCCTGACCTTGAAAATAAGTGACCAGGTGCCGTATGCATGTCATTCGGTCTTCACCAAGAAGCTCTGATATGGGTATTCTGAAAGGGCAAACTGAGGCACAGAGTGATTAAGTAACTTGCCCACACTCTTGCTGGTAAGAGGCAGAGTTAGCACTGGAACCCAGGATTGTACTGCCCCTAAGCCCTAATTCTGCCACCACAACTTGGTTATCCACAGTCCACACCCCTTTCCCAAGGGCCCTTGAAGTTGGTTTCTCTGCACGAAGTTATGCCCCTCCCTCAAGAAAGCTTCCTTGAGTGACTGAGCTGCCCCCGAGGACTCAGCAACCTCCACGTTGAGCCTCCCCATCCCCTTCTCCCGCTGCAGCCTTCTGCAGGCCGTTTGCACCGAGGAAACGTATGTCCGCTATCCAGAACCTCCACTCTTTCAACCCCTTTGCTGATGCAGGTAAGGGTGATGATCCGCTTCCCGCTGGCACTGAGGGTAATATCCATATAAGAATTCAACAGAGAAACGGCAGGAAGACCCTTACTACCGTCCACGGGATTGCTGATGACTACGATCAAAATAAACTAGTGAAGGCCTTCAGGAAAAAATTTGCCGGCAATGGTACTGTCATTGAGCATCCAGAATAAGGAGAAGCGATTCAGCTGCAGTATGACCAGCGCCAGAACATATGCCAGTTCCTCGTAGAGACCGCACTGGCTAAGGACCACCAGCTGAAGGTTCCTGGGTTTTAAGTGCTGTGGGCTCACTGAAGCTTAAGCGAGAAGTTCTTTGCAATGAGTGGAATTTCCCTTCTGTCCCTTGTCACAAGTTTAAAAACCTCACAGCTTGTATAATGTAACCATCTGGGGTCTGCTTTTAGCTTGGACTAATGTGATTCCTTCGTGCAATAAACTGAAAAGAGCCATGCTGTCTGGTCTTGAAATCCCTCATTTAAACAGAGCTCAAGCAGTGGGCGCCGGGCAGTGTCCAGCCTGAAACAGCAATACCGTGAGGTTTCAGCCAAGCCCATGTCTGGCCAAAGCTCCTCGCCAGAGTTCCCTGCCCTCAGAGAATGTCACCCACCGCCTGAACAGCCTTGGGTGAAGCTGAGAGGAGAGGGGTCAGGCAGCAGCGCCCTGTGTACCACTAGAGGGAGCCCTCTGCAGTCAAAGATCTACACCCGATGGAGCTCAGAGCAGCCTGCCACCTTCCCTCCAGGGAGGTGTAAGGACTTCCGGCTTGCCACCAACGTCTTTTTGACCTGACATGTCCTAGCTAATTGTTGTCCAAACTCCATAATTTGAGGCCAATCTTTTATCCAAGTTAAACTTTTGACAAAGGAACAAATTTCAAACTGAAGTGTCAGTCATATAGCTAGCTGTAGAGACCAGCCGTTTCCCAATGCCATGTGAAGTAAAAGAAAAAAGATTTTTGGGGTGTTTTTCCCCCATCCTTTAGTTTTAATGTTATTTTATGTACTTAAACCCTTATTTAAATAAAACTTGTTTTCAGAAACGAAAAGAAAGATCTAGACTCTCTAGGATTTGCATCCTAATTTTTTCTTCATTATATAAAACTATAGGACGAGCTTCCTTGACGTGTTCCGTGGTTTGCTGGGACAAGCCATTGAAGGAATTGTGCGGACAGGCCTGCTGTTCAATGGGGCTGGCCATTCTGAAACTTACAGGACATCCAGTGAGGTTCCTGAACCACCAGGAGGGGGGGGCACCCGTGCCTCGCCTGCTGCTGCTGGGCTTACTCCCTGCAGCCCCCAGAACCTGGCCTACAAGGCACTCACCTGTTCACCTGGGCCTGGAGCTGCTCTAGCCTGGGACCCAGCTCCCGAGACCAGCCGTCTGGGTCTCCCTGAGGGTCCGAAGGGCTGTGCCTTGGCCTTTGGGGCACTTGCTGAAGCAGCTCAGGCCAGAGGCCAGATGCATCTGAGAGGCTCAGGGAAGGGGCTGCACCTGCGGGAGCCGAAGGAAAGCCTGAACTTGGCTTAGCTGGTTCTACACACCTGAGCCCGTGCCCCTCCCCCTACCTGCCATGGGAACACGGGGCGGGCGAAGTGGCTCTTCCCACCTGCACGCCCAGGAATATGAAGTCCTGTCTCCATAGAAGGCTGGTATCCATGACCCATAAGGCTGTAGCCAGAGGAGGAGGCATAGGGCTCCTGCTTTGGGGGCTGGCTGGGTGGGGCACTGAGCCCTGACTCTCTAGGAAGCTAAAGCCTAGTGGTTTCCCTGTAGCCTTGCTGTGGAACCCCAGAGGCTTGGCCCGTATACCCCTTCTTGTGACAGCACTGGGCACCCCGCTAGCCCTCACCCAGGCTCCGAGGCCATGGGGAGGACGGGGGAAAGGCCTCCAGCGCCGAGCCTAGGGAGGGAGCCCCTCTCCACCCATCCAGGGGTTAGGGGGGGCCTCTCCTAGGGGAAGCAGGATGAAAGGACTGCGAGGGCCCAGGAGGCTGGCCGGGGCTCTGGGCTGTGGACGGCAGACACCGGTGGAGACTGGCTTTGCTCACCTGACTGGTTGTCACTGAGGAAGAAGCCTTGGTGGTCCTGGTTGCCTGGAGCCTGTTGGGGTGATGACCGGAGACCCCCATCTGCCTTGTGGGGAACAAGAGCATCAAGTAACAGGGAACGAAGCTGGGCAGGGCCTCTTGGTTCTCCCTTGCCGTCCTCCTCCCCACCTCCAATGTCCCCTCTGGCCCCTGTGAGAAAGGGGTGACAGGTGGCTGGGCTCTCCCATAAGGCTCCTGACAGCTTTCTGTAGGTGCCTCCTGCCTGGTGGGCAGGGGGTGAACAGGGGCGTGGAGGCCTGGAGACCCCCAGCGTCTTAGGAAAGGCTACTCGGAGCATCCTGATTGTTTGCGGGGGATTGTGGAGGGGGCAGGGGAGCTGTTCTTCCAGTCCTCCCTTTCCATGCTCCCACCCTCAGCTTGGCCAATGGGGGTCTCCTTGGAGGACACTGGGCCTGGAACCCCCAGTCCAGCAGATGCCCTCAGCAGCACCCTCACAGCCCACCCTTCTGGTACCTCCACTTAGGGCCACCCTAGGGGGCTGCAATTGTGCATGGAGACCACATCACTCTTGCCCTGGTATCCAGCCACTGAGCACTCAGGCCAGCTAATGGCTCTTAGTGGCTGGGGGGCCCAAGGCAGGGCCCTCACAAGAAATCTCTGACAGATCAGACGGGAAGAGGAGACCTGGGGAGAGGGGAACAGCAGAGGGCTCTGGGTGGGGCGGGCTGTGCCTAGTAGGAAAACCTGTCTCAGCACTGTACCCTCCATCCTGGGCCAGCAGAGCCCCTCCTCCTGAGGCTGGGTGTTATGTTGGGGGAAAGGGGCTCAGAGCTGGGGCCTCCGCCACTGTTGCCCCTATCAAGCATGCCTGCCACCTCCTCCCACTGGCTGATTCCAGACCCCGGCCTCGATGCAGCCTCGTCAGGCCCTCCCACTCCGTGGCAACCCTGGGCTCCACGGAAATGTGTTCTCCCTGCACACCTGTGTGACTTCCTTGGTTATCGAACCACGCGGCTCTTTGTTTCCCTGGCTTGTTTAATCTCCTCTGCCCAGTGATAAGCTTGAGAGGAGAGACAGCTCTCTCACTCTCTACACCCCCGGATTTGGCACCAGGAGCCCCTGGGCAGCACACACCCTCCCTTTCAGCTTAGAACAATGGTTGGGCAAAGCCTGGGCTCGGGAGTGGCCCAAACCTGACTCCACAGTCTGGCTCTGCCATTGACTGTATGTATGGCTTACTGAGAGGCTGAATGGCTGTGGGCAATGTGTCCTCTCTGGCCCTCAGTTTCCTCATGGGGGAAATGGGGATAATAACGGCATTTGCAAGAAAAAGGATTTAGTGAGATCATGTAAAAGAAGCCCAACGCCTCGCACATAGTAGGTGCTCAGTCACTGGGAGCTATCATCACGTTTAGCATTGTGTAGGCCATAGGGGACACAGAAGAAACTATGGTAAAAAACACAGCGTGGCCAGGACCGGTTTGGCTCACTGGATAGAGCGTCGGCTTGGGGACTGAAGGGCCCCGGGTTTGATTCCGGTCAAGGGCATGTACCTTGGTTGCGGGCACATCCCCAGTAGGGGGTGTGCAAGAGGCAGCTGATCGATGACTCTCTCTCATCGATGTTTCCAACTCTCTATCTCTCTCCCTTTCTCTCTGTACAAAATCAATAAAATATATTAAAAAAAAAAAAAAAAAAAAAAAAAAAACACAGCATGGGCTGAAAAAAAAAGATGGGTCCCCCAGGCCAAGCAGGCCAAGCTCTCAGCAGGCTGCCTGGGCATTCTCTGGGACCAGCTGGCCCAGGGCCACCCGCACCCTGGCCCACCCAACCCAGACTCACGTCCCGGAGGTTGAAGGTGACTTCCAGCTTGCTCCAGAAGCTGTCCGCGAAGGCAGGGTACATGTCCAGCACCTCCAGCAGGTCTGCGCGCTGGATCTTGTGCAGGTCGCAGTAGGTGAGGGCCCGCACGTCGGCGCTGGATTTGCCGGGCTGGGCGTGGAGGTTAACAGGCTCCCCAAAGATGTCATTCTTTCCTGCCAGCCGGAGGGGCAGGGGTTTCTCTAGGATCTGGCTCCAAGCTCTCTTCTAAGGCTCTTTCCTGAGGGCCCCTTGTCCAGGACCTCTCTCTCACCCCAGGGATTCCGCCGGGGGGGGGGGGGGGGCGGTCTGGTGCTCAGGATGAAGCTCTGGGGACAAGGCTGGATGTCCTGGCCCGGGGATAAGGAGTGTGCCCTTACCTTGTCCTTTGAGCTCTGCAGAGGAACCCCTCCCCCCTTTCTAGAACGTGTCTCTGGACCCTCAGGGCCACCCTTTGTCAGAATCCCTCCTCCTAGTTCCACATGCTTTGGGGCTATCCCTATCCCCACCCTGGGGATCAGTGGGCAGTAAAGGACACTAACGGCTCCCTGCTCAACCTCCTCCCCTCTCCGTAGTCTGCTGCAGTGATGTTGGGGTGCAAGGAATCCACAGTCAGGAGCCCCCCAGCGCAGGGCCCGACGCTTCTGACTCTGTGTGTTCCCACTCCCCATTGTGGGGCCTGGTAACCAGCATGACACTGGCAGAGGAAGCCTGGGAAGTCACTTCCCCTCTTTGGACCCCAGTGTCCTCATCTCTAAAATGGGTATAACCGTATCTCCATTGTCTACCCAACTGGGCTGTCCAGAGGAGCAGATGTGATGCTTGAGAAAGTACCTTGAATAGTGAAAGGCACCAGGCATGTGATTTCAAGGCGTTGGTATTGACAGATGTCACAGGGTGGACATGGGCTGACATTGGGGCATGTGATGATGGTATTGGGCCCTCCTAGAGCCAGGTACATGCTGGCCACAGGATGTAAACATGAAGATGCTGTCCCCCCCTGTGAGATAGGCCCATAAGCAGGCAGCTAGTTTACAGAATGATCTTTGACCTGAGAACAGGGAAGAACCATAGAAGAGGGAGGGGCTCATTCTACTAGGAGTGGTTGGGGAGCAGGGAGGAGGGGGGCTGACAGAGGAACCGAAGTGGGGGCTGGGTGGTGAGAATTGACGAGGACTGAGCTCCAAGGAGAAAGGCAATCTGGTAGAAAAACACCGTGTGGTCAGTGCTACGGTCAGGGTTGGGGGGCAGAGAGCCCAGGGCGGCGTGCTGATTGCTTTGATGTCTGAGTTCCCGGCAGGAAAGTTCAGCCCCCTCAGTCTGGTCATGCTGGAACAAGGGTCACAGACAATGATGGATGGAGGCCAGGACATGTCCCCCAGGAGAATAAGATCAAAGATCATCCACAAAAGAGGGGACTGAGTCCTAACAATGGAAGGAATTTGCCAGGATTACATATGAAACCCAGGATCTTGAAATCTGGGCAACATTATCAAGCGATGGTTTTCTAGCAGATGAAGGATTATGATCTCAAGTCCATTTCCACTCAGGACAAAATGGGATTTCATGTCTCTGACTGAAACTTAAATTGGACTGGCTTCTTAATTATTAATAATAATAATTATTCCTCCCACACGAATGGTACTTCTAAAATAGGCTGGCAGTGAGGGGAGGTCTCAGAGAGGAGCCTGTGCTTATGCTCAGCCTTAAAGAGTGAGCAGAGTCTGCCAGGGGGTGCCAAGAGGAGTTGCAGCCCTTGCAAAGGCAGGGCTGCGTGACAGACAGGCAGGCTTAGAGAGTGATACGTAGCTTGTATGGCTGGAACCGGAAGTACCCGGGGGAGGGTGGCAGGATGTAGGGTTGCTAGACTGGGGAAGACTGTGCCCACAGGTATTCACTCTTGTCCTGGGAGCCATGGGGACCCACGGAAGGTTTTGGACAGAAGAGGATGTGAATTTCAGGTCGCTGGCAGAAGGTGAAGATGGCATGGGAGCAAACCAGATGCAGGAATGTGGGAATGTTCCAGATGCAGAAACTGTCCAGGAAGGCTAGACCCAAGGGCTAGACCCAAGCAGGGACAAGGAGACCCGTGAGGGACAGAGAGGGAGACAGAAGGGGCCCCGTGGTGATCCGGATGAGAGGGGGCAGGAAGGTCTCTGGCTCACAGGACGGGGATGCCATAAGAGCTGCCTTTGAGGGCAGATGGGGACTTCAGGTTGAGATACGTTGTTTGGTCGGCCTCCAGAATAGAAGGTGGCCGTGCCCAGGAGGGAATGGAACATCTGGTCTAAGGAGAGCCTGGGGCTAGGACAGAGTTCTGGGAGTGCCTGAGGCACAGATGGAGGCTGAGACCCTGGGAGCGAGGAGCTGGACCCAGTGAGAGTGCGGGATGAGAAGAGGCCAGAGCCCCACGCTTGGTGGACACCAGCTGAGGGCAGACCAGAGGAGGAAGGAGTGGGCACAGGGGGCCTGACCGGGGCTGCTGGAGGAGGGCCGGGCCCTGGAGTCCAAGGAAGGGCCAGGCTGACGTCCTGCGCTGGGGGGGACTTGGGGTGGCTGAAGTTGGGGGAGGGGACGGGAGGAAGATGAGAAAGAGAAAACCCTGTGAGGCTCAGAAACGTGAAGCCACCTGCCCCAGGTCACACTGGCACAACTGGTAATGGGCAGAGGCTGCTGGTGCCCCTGCCCAGCGCTCACATCCTTCCTCCCAAGTCCAGCCTTCCCAGTGCTGACTGACACCGAAGAGCCCCCTCCACCCATGACAAACCCTCACGCTCTCACCCTGTGCTCCCCCACAGGGAAAGACGGTAGGAGCCTGTGCTCCCCCACAGGGAAAGACGTTAGGAGCCTGCTTGCCAGGACTTCGGAGTCAGACATATTGCCCAGGAATCCCTGCTTGGCCCCCGTACCAGCACGATCTCCCTGAGCCTCAACTTCCCTATGAGGAAAGGGGACCTATGGCAGAGGTTTGTTTTCAGGATTCAGTGAGCCAGGAGGAAAGCTCTCTGGCACACGCTGGG